ATCTTAAAAACACTCTGCAAGTTCTCTGGACAACCAACATGTCACAATAACATATATGTTATTGTGAACTGAGACTGAGATATGCCAAATAAAGGCAGAGATTTGGCTACAGAAGCTGAGGCTGCTGCTTCATCCTACTCTGTGCCTTACACACCAGACTCACCACTGCAGTTTCTAAGTACTTTCCACTTGTGCACTGAGTGCTGACAGTGACATGTTGGTTGTCTTAACATTTCTGCAGTAAGAACTGCACTGGAGTGTTTTGTTTTGGACCCTTTTTGTAATGCACACTGGCTCATATACATAAACACACATACCCTCCACATTCTGTTGGCTTTTTTTTAAAGAAAACAAGTTCAAGAAGATGGTAGTGTATTTTTGTGTGTATACATTTAAGGATTTGCGAGTTTCCTTCTAAAGGAGTTTGCTCAACAGGTTCCTTGGGGAACAGTCAGTGTATTGAAGCTGTCACATATATGATTGCTGAGTGGGTACTGGAAAAGAATCTTTGACTTTTGTAAATTAAAACAAGAGCGCAGAGAGAGCAGAGGAAACCAAGAATATAGTCTAGGTCATTTGGGAGTGAGTGGGGAATTTAAACTGATTTCTTCAAACTGATTTGCTGTAAATGTTCCAACTTTTTGCTTTTAAAGGAGAGAGTGTTAGAGATATCAGATTTTTTTTCCAGTTCTCAACAATCTTCCTTAACTTCACTAAAATATGGTTCTGTGATCCGCTGGTCTGAGCATGAGGCACAGAGGTACTGGGTATAAAAATACGGGTTACAGAAAAGGAGAAAGAAGATAAAAGATTCGGGTGTACTGACAAGAACTGAATGAAGAAAAAGAAGCTCCTACCTGAGAGGGAGATTGATCTGCTTAGTATCATAGAATCATTACAGTAGGAAAAGACCTCTAAGATCATCAAGTTGAACTGTCCAACCATCCTTGACATCTGTAGGGTGCAAAGATTTTGTATGAAGGGAACAAAAAAAAGATGTGAGGAGTGGGAGAGCACACTTTTCTGGCCAAGAGAAAATATTTCTGTGAAATACTGTCTTCTAGTTTTAACAGACACATGTAAATCTGTGAAGGCATTGCTAGAAAAGCATTAAACTTTGTATTGCAAGAACTACAGGGTTTGAGGAACTAAAGATCTGAACCAGAACCTTGCTGTTTGGGGTTTTTTTACCTGCTTTCAATCAGAGAATCACAACAGAGAAGGCTGCATGGACCTGCTATATACAGTTCTAAGGTGAAAAACTCGTTAGTCTGTGAACACCTAATAGGGAAGAAGCTTGGTGAAAGGAAAATTAGTGTGAGATAGTAAGGTATTCACTTGTTTGTTGTGTCACTGTTACAAGGTACAGCAGCATCCAGGCAGATCAATAGCAGTCTTCTGAAGCTGTGCGTTTCAATTGGTTCAGCTGGCTTTTTGGGGTCAAAATCTGTTTTGACATCCTTCCTCTGTGTCTAGTTCTTTAAAATTGCTCAAGAACATGATTTGCACCTTGTGTTGCCATGACTTTGAAAAAATAAAAAAGCACCCCAGATTTTCTCATTAAAGAAGTGAGAAGCTACAGAGTTTCACAGAGATAGCAACAGAGCTCAATGTTCCTACAGGAACAAGCTTAATAGCAGTACTTCCCAGCTTTAAGTAGAAGGCAGCTTTGGGAAGGAAAAAAAAGTATCATTGACTAAAAAAGTTTGGTTTCTTGTGGATTTACTGTCATTATTGATGGCAAGCTGTGACTGAGGCTTTTCCCTTTTTAGGGCATTTATAGGTACTGTTTCACATGTAGATCCTCTGCTGCATAATACAAGCAGCTCACTTTTTGACTTCCCCACTGTGGGAATTCTAAAGAGGTTTTTTGTCCTCTACCATACACTAGTTGTTGACCTGGATTTAACATGCCATGAGAACAGGTTAAGGATTAACAGATCCATAAATTTAGAAGGAAATAAAGAAACACATGTAAAATGTGAGCACTTCATCAAGTTAAAAATACAGATTTTCAACTTTAACAATGATTTGTGAAATCTTTTAAGGTAAGGAGGGGAGTGGTAACACTGCTTATTTTATCTAAAACTTTTTCTGTATTGTATAGTATATTTATACATCACAAAAGTATATTCAGAATAAAAACCCTTGTTGCCTATGATTTAAGCTGTCAAATAAAAAAAGTGTGGTTTTTTCTAGCAGAAGAAATGTATTAGCATGCAGAAAGCAATGCTGCTTCCTCTGGGAGGTTTTAATCAGGCCTCTCGTACTGATTGAGATGCAGTGCTCTAAAGTGAGAAAAATTATTAACAAAATCAAAAATCTAGAGTGTCTTTCACGCCAATGTTCATCAGTGTATTTTATGTGATTACATAGTCAATAAATCAACACAGTGTGTAAGTGCTTCAGTCATGGTGTAAATATCTTAATGACTGAAACATCTTCACACATGAATAATTTATACCAGTATGATTCATTTTTCATATCCATGCTTTACTTCAACATGAAAAACTAATCCTTCTCTGTCAGGGAATGTGTACTTGATTATTGCCTTCTGATTCCTCTTCCTTGTGCTTATTTTCCACAGTTAGACACACTCCATTTCTTCTCTTCTGGTTCCTCTAATGTAGTTATCTTATTTTTTCGCCCTGTCTGCCTTGGTTTGCCTTCTCACTGCATTTCAGCAGGCACCTGGGAAATAACACTGGGGCATAAGCTGATTGTGTGTTTCTCAAGTAACTGGAAAAAGGACCAGAATCTTGAAAGGTTTACACATTCTCAACAGATATTTGCATTTAGTTTCCTCTCCTTGAAGCAACCATTGCAGAAGGAACTTAGGATAGGCCATTAACAAGTTGGGCTTTGCCATTTTCTGGATCAATGTGAGTTAAAACCTTTGTCAATGTACTGATGACAAACATTGTTTGAATCTTCTTGCCATATGTTTGTAAATGCAAAACTTGTTTGTAGTTCCAGAAAACCACTGGAATGTTCAAGACTAAAATAATTGTTTCTCAGTGCAGGAATGGGAATAGGGAATACTTAAATTCTGCTTGACTGCACATGCTTATTTGACTGTATGCAAGTCACTGCATGCATCCTGCCTTACTTAGACATTTAGACCCCTAACCAAGACATCTAAGACATGAGTTTGATTGTGATAAACTCCTTTATTTACTAGAGAAAGACAGGTTGCTGCTGAGGGCAGTTGTCCCAGCTTTAAAGCTACTTAGTGCTTGAAGCTCCAGACAGAAATGCTCTTCTTTGGGCTCAGAATTTAAAGATAAGTTCAGGTTTTTGGAGCAGCTTATTTTGGTAGTGTCTGTGAAAGTTCAGCCTTTAAAAAGTCAGTCCTAGTTGAGCTTAAAAAATAATCACTCAGATTTAATGGGCACTTTCAAAAGTACTGAATTGCCCCTTCAAACCCTCAGGTTTGTAACTTGAAAAAAAAAACTCACCAGGAATATAAAAATTAATTCAAGTTGTGGGGGAAAAAGGAGTCATATCGGAGTCATTCTCTGATAATTAACTGATACTTTTCTGAAATTGCCTGTTGATTCCATCCATGCACCTTTTTTCACTTCATTTCTATATGCAGTTTACCTACATTACTCTCTAACAAGGAAGAGCACCTTAGCTGAGTGTTAATCACTCATTCAATTTCTTGTATCATTATATAGCATGCTAGTTTTGTATGTTAGTATTGTTTCACAGTCTCTTCTGTGTCAGTATTACATTTTTGGACTATTTTTTTAGATTTAAGACTGAATGCAGTATCTTACATCTGTCCTCTCCTCCATACTTGGAAGCCCAGCTGCAGTTCTTTTATATCTTCAATCTCAGTGACTTCTGAGACGTCACAGTTGAGTGTTGTCTTCGTATCCTCACAGCTGGCTCCAGTACGCTGTGAATACGAACCTCTCTTGTTTGCTGGCAGGACATTTGGTAACTTTGTTCCAACATAAGTCTTTGTTTATTCAGTTTTTCCTTATTCTGATTGTAAAGACTTCCAAAGGCTTCTGATACTACTTTATTTGTCTCAGTCTTTTTATATCCTTAAAGGACACCTCCTCTTACTGTATATTACTCCACTGAGATGAGTTGATCTGTGGGTATTGATTAGTAGGAGATCTCAGCCAGTCTCCAGAATGTACTTCACCCTGATCACTACCTGCTTTGTTTTGGTATTTAGGAAGAAGCTTGCTGTCTTTTTGCTTTGTTCTGTCTAGCACTTGTCTTTCTTGGGTATGCTTCCTCATCACAGTCATCGATCATGACTGTTCCTCCCTCCTATTTTTCTGCTTTCTCTTTTTCAGCCTTGGTCATTTACTACTTAAGCTCTGTTGCAAGGCAGTAGTTTATCAAGTGATAGGATGTTACAAGAATCTTCTGAACCTCCTCACATGTATTTTGCTTTAACTCCTACTACTTCTAGCTGTCATGCCTCCTGCACTTTCACAATTTTCTCCTAAATTATCCTTTCTTTTTGTGAGGGATTTCTCGAAGACCTTTTCTTCACCTTCTTCATTTGATTATTATAGCTTTTGTCCACAGCCCTTCACCTTCTTTTGTAAAATTTAATTCAGCTTTCTTCTCTAACCTAATCAGTTACTCTTTCTTTTTTTTCAGATAATTTTCTATTTTTTTATTAATTACTGTTTTGCAGCATTCCTGTTTTATATTCCAGGTAATTTTTAGCTTCAGTTGTTCAAGAGAATGATTTTCTAACACATCTTGGTTCCCTCATCTGGTCCATGTCTGATTCTGATACACTCAAATACTTTTGGAAATCCCAGAGTCACAAACTTCCTCTTGCTTTTATAATTTTCATCATTAAGAGCTGATTAACTGATGCTATTCCAGAATTTCATGAAGTGGCATGGTGTCTGGTTAGAGAAATAGAATAGCCACGGAGATTTTATTTTATGTGGGGAAAATGTGAAAATGGCATCAATACCACATTGGTATAATACTGATCTTCTGTTGTCTAATTTTAACAGATTCCGTAGCAACAGCGTCTGGACCACTGCTAGTTGAAGTTGCCAAAACTCCTGGTGCTGCTCTTGGGGTTGCACTAACTACCTCGATGTGCTGCAACAAACAGGTCATTGTCATAGACAAAATCAAATCTGCAAGTATTGCAGACAGGTGAGTGTGACAGAGGGCTGACACTGCAGGTCCATACATCCATTTTATTTCTGTTTGGTCTGGTTTTAAAGGAACCCTTTCCTTTTTTGATAAAATGACTGAACCAGATGCTCTCAAGGTTGCATGTCTTAAAATTAGCACTTTCTCAGATCGTTGTTCCATACTGACAAGTTTAAGGCTTCCAGGACACCATTTACTTTAGCTGATTCATGTAGTATCTAGTGACATAAGCCAGCCTCATGCAATATGTGACCAGCAGCTTGCACTGTACAACACAGGAGTTTAGAGGTCTGCTCTGGCTATTAAATGTAATATCATGGCAGAGATTAGTATTTAAAAAATAAATAACCCACTGGAATTCTTGAAGTAAGCCCACAATATGGAACAGCTGTCAAGAGAAGTAAATTTTGAGGCTCTGCAACCTTGAAGTGTTCTTTTAGAATGTATCACTCATTCTTGTGGCACAGTGAAACGGAACTGCTTATGTCTGAATTTTTTATTGATATTTTAGAATACAAGTGACGTATTAGGAAGGCTGGCTTATGTGTTTTTAAGTTCTTTTGCTGTAATTTTTCCACTTCATTTTAACCTTTAATTAAAACCATTTAAACCATTAAAAATTTAGATAGATATTTTTCCCCGGTGCTCTGAACCTCTGTAACAGAGCCACAGGATCTTTTCTGGGGTGTGTGCGTGCGTGTGTGTGTGTCTTTATACATATACAGTATATTCTTGTATACATATCTCTATCTAAAAATTTTTTAAATGTTACGTTTCAGCAGCAAATTCCTCCTGCATGTCCCCAGTCACCCTACCTTGTAACTCCTCTTTGCCAATGGTGCTTTTGGTAGCACCCACTTGTAGCAGTGAGTCTACAGCTCCTCTGTGGGCTTTTCCCTACAGTAGAAACTTTGAGAGTGACGGCCATTGATCCAGGGGTGTTCTCCAGTTCAATGGTGCAGGATGCTTTAATTTTCTCCCTCTGTTTTTTCCCATTTCGCAGGGGGTAACCAATTAAAGGAGCTGTCCACTTGACTGGTACGTCGGGATGCTGACTGCTGTGTTTGCATTTCTCAACTCATCCAGTAGCCAGTCTCTTGAGTGCAGCGAGATTTAGCAGATAGTCCCCTTCCCACCCTACTCCTCAAGTCACTATGCTAGCCCTGGTTTCATTATTTGTTTGATTACTGCATAATTCATCATCATTTACAGCTTTTGTACTAATAAATGTTTGAACTGTAACTCAAAAAATGATGAACTGGGTGCTTGTGTGAGGGATATGTGACCAAGTTATTTAAGTCTCCTTAAGCTCTTCTCATTTTATCCTGCTGCCATTCACACATATTTTTAAAGTCAGCTACCCCATTCCAGTTCTGTGAGTGATGTCTTGGCATATGTTGTATTAACTGAATTGTTTTTAAGGTTTGTACTGATAGATATAAAGTCTGACCAGTGACAGTGCCTACAAAACACAAATGTCTCTCGAAAAAAAAGAACACATTGATAGTTGTCATGACCAGTTTGAAGGCAGAAAAACTCATTTTGCAAGCAAAGAGCATACCTGATCATACCGAGTTTTTCCCCTTTTATATAGATGTGGTGCATTACATGTAGGAGACCATATTCTGTCCATTGATGGCACCAGCATGGAGTACTGTACGCTGGCAGAAGCAACACAGTTTTTGGCCAATGCAGCAGATAACGTCAAACTTGAGATCCTTCCTCATCACCAGACACGGCTAGCACTGAAAGGCCCAGAGCACGGTAAGAGGATCTGTAGCACCAAATGCATCTTTCTCTTTCTTTCTTTTACTTTGCCTGCCCTTGCTGAATGGCCAAGAAAGCTATCGCAGCATTTATGTCTTTAAGTGTTGTTTCAGCTCCCCACATTTTGCTTCTGCAATATCTGAGCAGGTTTGTGTTTTCTCAGTCTTAATGTATCCTCCGAGATTCCTATGGCTAGAGAGGGAAATGTTTTGCTAAGAAATGGTCTGCATTCTTGTAAATGTACATAAAGCACCTGTTGACTCTACTGTTGCAGTCGTTGGGGGGGCTACAAGGTACTTCAGTAAATGAATCTCAAAATTGCTTCTTAAATTTAGAACGGGGAAGAAGAACCACAGCCAGTTTATTTTCAGCATATTGACTTGGTAGTCTGTTATGATCACTTCATTAATAACACCTGTTCTCCCCTAAAATACTTACCCCCCATATTTTCTCTTTTTAATGACATTATTATTTATTACCATCATCTTTTAAAGTACTTCTGAGATTGCTTCTTGGGTTCATTGTCAGTGCTTATGGAAATGGTTTGTTTGGAAACAGTTCCCTAGATCCCAGACCTTTTACACTGTGATATTTATTTCATAACAAACATTCTTGAATAGAATGGCTTTCCATTTTCAAATTAAATATATATAAAATGTCTATGTATTTGAAGATGGAGGCTGCCTGTCTTGTCTTCTGACTCATCCTGAGAAAGTGGCTAATTCACAGTATTCATAAATTCAGTCTAAAATACTGCATTTTGACGGACATCAAAGAAGTAGGGTTATCAAACACACAGAAGAAGGGTTATCAAATACATAGATAACAGATAACTGTGTTGCAGCATGAACATGAAGCAGTGGTATTACTTTCTGAGCCTGTAATACTGTACTTCTGCCTCCTTTAGACCAAGACAAAATTCCTGAGGCCTAGAAATGTCAGTGATGGTAGATGTTCTTGGACATCTATCTAAGATCCAGGCTGTCCCTTGATAAGTGATGCTCTAGTCAGCTTCTCAAGAGTGATGAACATTGAACTAGTGACTGAGGAGACACTAGTTTCTCACAGACCAGGATGAACAAAAAGTAACCCTTGTTCTTCCATTATTCAACTCTTTCCCTTTTCTACTTAAAGCTCTTAGAAGGACAAAGGAGCAGAGAGTGATACTGCATAGGCAAAATGAGATGGAGACCAAATTTTGCAATATATTTCCATTCTGTTCAGTTATGACAGTACGTTGCAAACAGACCTTTCATTTTTTTGAAGTAAAGGTGCCACACAAATAATTTCTGGCTGGTTAAAGAACTTTTGAAGAGTGTTTCTTTTGGGAAGACAAGTGCCAGAGCCAAAGATTTGTGTAGATGACTGTATTACTTGAAGCAGTTCATTTGTTAACCAACATTTAAAACAGATTGATGCTTTTAATGTTCTAGGCACCTTGACCCAGTGTAGATGCTTAGAAAAAGTGATGCTCTTGCTATGCCAGAGTTAAGAACTGGCTGATACAAAATCATGGCAAGGTGATCTGCGAATGATATATAAGAGCATCTTTTGGGGAAAAGTATCCCTAAGGTAATAAAGTTGCTTTCTTAAGCAGTTGCTTTCAACAAGGCAGAATAAATAGGATGTTTACAGCCCTACCCAGGCCCTTACCAGGTGGTGCTGCTCCAATAGGATGACCAATTCAGGATATAACATGCTTTATGGAAGCAAGTACTCTCCTGGAAACAACCTTTCATCAGGTGTGGTATGACCTAGAGGCTGCAGAGAGTAAAAATCTCCCTTTATGTGTCTGGGATAAACTGAGTCATTAGGGCTGTATCTGTTGAACTCAGTTATTGGTCTTGTGGGAACATGTTAAGAATTTAAAATGGACGCGGAAAGTCAGTATATAAAATAAATTGAAATTTTAGCTGTAAAATAAAATGAACAGCACCATCAAAGATTTGATTTTTTTCATGTTTTTTTTCCTTTATACTGTGTTGCTGACATTCATTTCTGTTGCTGCCCCATTAGTTTTATGTTTGCTGTACACAATGCTGGGTTGAAATAGCTCAAATTACCACTAAATTACTATGGTTGCACACAACAGGATTTTCTTTTACAGAACTTTTGTTGAACTGGGATTATCCTTCTACAAGCTGAGCAAACTGAATATGTGTACCTTCCCACTTTGTAGGACATTTTTATCTCTACTCTCAGCATGAAAATAAAACATTTTTAAAAGGTCTCAAAGACTACCAGATAATTTCCTGCTGGAAGCAGTCTTTTTAATTAAACAAGGCTTACAGCAGCTTCAAAATAATGAAAATCTACCTGGCCACATTGTTCTTATCAGATTTTAATTTTTGCACCATAGTTCAGAAATTTCACTGTCTGTGTGTGTAATCAAAGAGATAGTTTCACCTGAGAAGACATAATAAGTCTGTGAGATACATATGGCCATATCAGGCTGCTGCTGCTGCTGTTTCTGGGACTTCTCTGGCTTACGTGAGATCTTCCGAAGTTCCTGAGGGTGGTGGTGCCAGCGGTCCCCAAGGGCCCAGGCTGACCTGGTGCTGGTGTCGCACCCCTCCCTCACCTTTGATACCTATTATGGGGGAAAAAACGTAGTTCTTTTGATTGAAACACATGCTAGGGCACAACAGGGTGCTCTCAGGGAGGGACACAGCTCCTGGGAAATCCAACCAAAGGCACAGGGTCAGACCTGGCAGTTCCAGGGCCTCAGGGTCCCCACCACCCCACCAGGCTGCAGGGACACAGTGGGCCCCTGTGCTCCCCTTTTCCTCTCCCTTCCCTGGTGTGCACTTCACACTGTAGTGACAGGCATTGCTTTTGAGTCAGAGGATGGTTAGTATAGTCAGGCAATTAGCAGACCATTACTCATGTAGTATGAAGCGAAACAAAATGATGTTTTCCTTCTGGCACAGCACAGTGCTTGCTGCGGTGGCTACCCTTTTTGCCCTTATTTTGTCTCATGGAGTAAGATGTGAACACAAGGTGTGGGTCCAGCTTAAATGCTCAAGGTTTTGGGCTGCTATTAAAATCCAGCATGTGAACATATGTGTCTTCAGCCATTATAGGTAGAGCAGATAGGAGAGAGACACAGGTAAAACAGCTCATGAGCCAAAGATGGCAGCTTCTCTTTCATAGAAACTGAAAAAGGGCAGGTTTAGATTAGATATCAAAAAGAAATTCTTTATTGTAAGGATGGTGAGGCACTGAAACGGGTTGGCCATGGAAGTTGTGGATGCCCCATTCCTGGTAGTGTTCAAGGCCAGGTTGAATGGGACTTGAAGCAACATGGTCTAGTGAAAGGTGTCCCTGCCCACAGCACTGAGTTTGGAAACTAGATGATATTTAATGTCCCTTACAACCCAAACTGTTCTATGATTCTGTAGTATGGGTGAATCCCTTGGTGTTTTAAAACAAAAATTCAGTGAATAGTTCCCAGTTTGAACTGTTCCTTTATGGTTCAGCAAGGATAGAGACATGCTGAATTTAATGATGGCATACTGTATTTAATCTAGGGTGACTTCAGTCACTTTCCTTTAAGATTTGACAAATCAACTAAAATGTTTCCCATTCTCTTGGTAAATACTGGTCTTCGCTTTTGACATATCCCAGATTCCACATACACAGAATCAACAGTCAAATATAGTCTCAAATTTCATCCAGTGAAGGATCATTTCAAAGTTTTGAAGATCAAGTTAAAAAAACCCCAACATTAAATTGCACTTCCAACTAACCAATAAGACGTTTTTTCTTTATTAACCAGATTTCAGGATAGAGTTTTCCAGCTGCTGGCCTGGGGAAGTCCTTTACTGCACAGAATAGCATAATATGAACAATAGATGGTGGCAAAATTAAAATGTCAATACAGTAAATTGAAATGGCAAGTAAGCACCTTCATTCTAGGCAGTGCTATGTATAGTACCTGGTTGATCTTTTTAAAGTAGATGAATGCAAGCAGAGACTTACTAACCTTCATTTAGTGGTCATATATAGTAACTTAGCATTTTCTAAGAAAGTTTGCAATCTTAGCTACTATGCCAGAGTGAGATTAGAAATTGATTCAGTAGACATCTTTTTTAAAACAAATACAAAAAGGCAAAACCCCACAAACAATAAGAAGCATTTTTTCTGAGAATAAATATTATTTCTACTCCTCGAGTTATCGAGCCCCAGTAAGAAGACAAGACCAGGTTATATTTTATTTTATTTTATTTTATTTTATTTTCAATTTATTTTCGTTCTTTTACTTCTGTTTTTTTGTCTGTGCAATTCAGTTACTTTTACCTCTTCTCTGGTCCTTTTGTTTTCTGATTTTCCATCATCCCTTCATGTGAGCAGTGAACGTTCAAAGAAGCAACAGGCAACTTACCTGGGATTTGTGTGCCAACAGCCACGGCAGCCTCCTCACCTACCAGCATTATAACACCTACCACCCTGACCATTGCAGGATGCCAGCCTTGAAATTCCAGAAAGCGCCTCCTCAAAAAAGCCTTCGTAATGTTCCACGCTTCTTCCTGCTGACATACTCTCTCCTCCTCTTCTTCTTCCTCCTCCTCCCTCCTCTCTTCTTTCACTCATACTTTTCCCATTTCAGGCTCTAAAATGTTTTTAGTTTTATGGATGCTATCCTTTTTCATAGCCATGCCAATGTTATTTCCGACATTTTGCACCTTTTCCTTTCTGTAACAAAGCAGGTTTTGTAGACAGGAAAAGGCTTGAAAATTCTGAATGAATCAGCTCTTCCGTTATATATGAGTAGACCATTAGATTCGAGTAGTGTATATAAAGCATGATTTTTGAATGCAAAGCACTGCTTACAAATCTTTAGTCAGAAATTACGTACCACAAAAAGGCATTTCTAAAATCAATGTATCTAGACATACTGATCTGCATTGGTTTGTGGATATGTGTTGAAAAATTTAATTTAACATGCTTCACTTAAAATGAGTTGTATACTATGAATGTACTTTTTGTATTTACATTATCTTTGTTAGCTTCCAGTGAGTATTTTCATGAGATGCTGGCTATATTTTTTTTAGGGTCACCTGTGTGGTTTAATGTCTTTGTTACTGGAAATGCACAAACCATTCCTGTGTATCATACACAGCATATACATACAATGTTTGATTCATTGATGAGTTACAGGCATGTGCTGCACTCTTCCCAGAAGACTGAGTGCTGTATGCCAAGTGTTTGATTTCTTACAGCAGCTCTGGTGTCTTCATCCTTCTCTCCTACCTCCATGAGTGCATACAGCCTGAGTTCCCTGAACATGGGGACCTTACCTCGCAGCCTCTACTCCACCAGCCCACGTGGGACAATGATGAGGCGGAGGATGAAAAAGAAGGACTTCAAAAGCTCCTGTAGGTGGTAACAACATTTGCTCAAAATGTGCAGTGAATGGGTGGAGGAGGGGGAAGATACAGAAGAAAAGGTACTCCTAAACAGGAGAGAGAACAATTGGAGTTTCTGTTAGATGTAGGGAAACATCAGCGTAAAAATATTTGTCCAATGCTAAAAGGAGATGAGCAGATATCATGCAGCAATAACTGTCTCATCTGAAATATATGAAGGAATGTTTTCTTCAGATAGTTCTGGAAGAGTTTGTTGTACCGTTACCAAAGTGATTTTCAGATTCCTTTTTCAACTCTTCCAGTTTCCGTTAGGGAATAGAATTCACAGCTGAATAGTCAAAAACATATTGCTGGTAAACTCAACCAGCTATCACATTATGGAAGACAAAGAGCTTGCTGCAGCACCTCCTAGGTAGTTCTGATGTTTACAACTACACCATAACCTGTACAGTTATTTTTGTGAGGAAGAGCAACAAGTAACAGTAAAGACTAAATAGCCTTGTTTGACTAATCTCTGGACTTCAAAGCATGGATTTCCTATGAGTCAGTAGTTTCCCAAGACAGGGTTGATACATTTCAGGCTGTTCCACTTTGTATATTATTGAGTATTCACAGGGCAGGAGAGAGTATGGCTGTGTCAGCATTTTGTTTCCCAGACTCCATGTATGTGCCGCCTCTCCTTTTGGCTTGTCCCTCTGTGTATCCTCAGCAGTTCAGTTCCTCCAGAGCAGGGAGGTGAGAACTGCCCTGTAAATCATCGCTCTGGTTAATAATGCTCAGAGGTCCGTTCTGGAAGAACTGAGCTGCTGTACATTACAGTGCTGCTGCCCTGTTTTAAAGATTGCCCACATCATAGCAAAATCAGAGCAAATCAGCAGCCTCTAAGGCCAGTCACTATGGAACTGTGACAACACGTTAGAGAGGAACTGAGGTTTTGCTTTCTTGCAGTTTTTGTTGTTTGCTTGTTCTTATTTCTTTCATAAAGCAAATATTTTTGCATAACATTTGCCTGTAAGTGCATTTTTTCTTTTTAATCCAATCAGCCATTTTTCACAGCTCATCTGTTGACATGTTAGCTTCTAATGCATTCTTTTGGGTTATGGGGAGATACTTTGGTAACAGTAGGGGTCCAGGTCTCACATGTTCTTATGCACATGAGAAACAGTAGTGGTATTACATTAGTAGTAATTGATTGAACATCAGTTTGAAAATTAATGCAAAAAATAGTTCTTCTGTAGTGCTATATTTTAGCTGTTCAACAAAGGATAAAATCCTGAAAGCTAGTCCTTTTATGGATCTTGGAGACAGCTGTTACTTATCAAGTTCTTCAGGTATTTTTCCTTCAAGGAAGCCTTGCCCTATGGTGTGTTATCTTGCAAAGGCTCATAACAAGGCCAGTGACACGGCATGTAAGTGGGACAGTCACATAAGCACTGTAACCTACATGGAAGATTCTTCAAGTCAGAAGGCCTTGAAGGCTGCTATGATTAAACAAATCTCTAGCAAGGAGAAGCTAGAATGAGGCTTTGTTGTGGGTTAGTTTATTATGCATTTGCATTGTGAGGTCTGGATATAGAACATTACAAAATATGTGGAACTGGCCCCATCACTGAGCAAGTCTGTGCTTTGCTACAAGCAGTGACTACATCAACAACCCTGAATCAGAAGTGGCTTTGGAGGAATTGGCTGGCCAACCAGGCTTGCCTCCTCTTTCTGTGAGCTCGCTTATAAGTTCATGCAGACTTCTTTACTCTGTTGTTAGATCTATACCCCGTACTCATGACAGTAGTAAAAATCAGCTTAAGAGACCCACACTACTCTGAGTGTGCTACAAGTGACCATGATAGAGAACGTCTGCTCCTGTACCTTTCCACTATCCATGGATAAGACTTGGAAAACCTTGCCCCTCTCCCTTTGTGGGAGACTCATGACAACCAGGTAGATTGACTGCTGTCGTTTTCATAGAAAAGGAATAGCACACTCTCTTAATTTTAGTTGGATTTTTTTTTCTTTAATCTGATTGGATCATTTGAGGATTGTATTAATGTAACATAATAAATCTATAAGGATGTCACTTGGGAAGAAAAGTATGTAGGGTGTTATAAAGTTTGCATTGCCAATTATTTAAGAAAACTTGCATAATGTAATGTGATGGTGAAGTGCGATGGCAGAGGGGGTTACAAGACTTTTATGACCATGATTTTACAATCATTGCATTAGTTACACAGATCTTTCCAAACATGTGGTTGTAAAAATTGAGGGCATGCCCTGCTGGCACATGCTTTATTTATGCCACTTGTTTTCAATTTTTATTCTTCCACCTCTTTTGTTTGTTTGTTTTAAGGTATGGTATTCATTGTGGAAACAGTTAGATTATTTTTGGGTTAAAGTTTAAATTGTGAAGTATTTTGTAAAAGGTCGACATTAGTAGTTGAAAGTAAGACATAATTTATATCAGTTTACATTACTAGGGTTCCATATCTGGTAGAAATTGGAGAGGCTGTTAGACATGCATGGGTGTTGTTTTCTCAGCAGCTACCAGGAGAAATAGTGAACATTTTGCAGTTTCTGGAAGCGTAATAATCCATGTATGTACCTTTGAATACATCTTGCTTTGCTTCTCATATAACTACAAGAATAAAAATAACAAGTACATAATCTTCAAATTCAAGATCATTATTTACATAACTTCAGGGCATACAGCAAACCAGCCCCCAGGACTGTTGCTCAGAGTTAGACAAAAACTATACAAATACGCTGAAATGTACCCCTAGCAGTAGCAACCAGGGTTCACTGGAAGTACATATACATCCATGTCACTTTTAAATCAATGAGGCTGCTTCCTGGCCTGTAAAAATTCTAATCTATCAAGCAGCTAAAAAATGGAAGTGTTTCTTGCTGCAGTTATTGTTGAGTTACAAACCACAACATTCTCAAAGTCATGGTTTTGGGTACCTGTTACATTTTATAAAGGCTTAGCAGATAGCTATTGTTACATAATTTGGAGAAGATATTTTTATCTCTGCTTTTTTTTGTTCCTGTTTCTCTTTCATTTTCATTGAGTGTGGAAGGATTTTCTAATTGTCACTTTTAAGTGTCAACATCATCAAAATGTTTATCAGAGTTTTAAATCCCATAGCTAGTGACTTAATTTCTCAATGTGAATTAAAACTTTAGCTGTCCTAAAAGTTGAAGTAAATGTTATGAGACATTTAGATTCCTGGTAGGGCATTATAAAAAGAGTAAGAAAGTTACAGAGTCAGCTAGATACCATACCTGCTGCTTGGGGGGAATAGACACATAAGTGATGGGAAACAAAGATGAAACTAACAAGTAATTGTTATGTGACCTTTAAGAAAGGGAAAATGGAACTTTTCTGAGATTGGATGCCCTAAATTTCAGCATTTCTAGAAGATGTGTTAGGGAATCTGGTATTATATTAACTCTGAATTTATTTGGTTTAGTCGTATTTTAGCCTCTGCAGCAGTGAGAGCTGGAGGAAACTTTCTCGTGTGCAGTAAATATTAAAGCTGGTGGCAGTTTCTAAGAACAGATTATTAGTATTTGCGTTTGTGTATAAGCATGTCTTACTGAGTGCAGGTAAAAGAAACAGTAAGAAGGAAGCTATTCAGTAGCTAAAGTAATATACAATTCTTACATAAGAAAATTAATATATGAGGGAAAATTCACAGTAATTTGGGCAGCTTCAGACTGGAAAGAAGCTTTGCTTGAAGAAAACAGAAATTCATGAGATTTTTGGCTGGTGAAACTTTTCCGAAGAACTGTCATTGCCAACTGTGCCACATCAGTAAGATTTTATATGAACTTTCAGAGCAAAAGTCTAATGCTTGCAGCCCCAAAAATACTTATATAACCTCTGACATCTTTGTACAGTTGTGCTAATAGTATCTATAATGTCAAATCAAGAATTAATTTTTTCCCACATCTGAGAGAAAAAAAATCCATTTGAAAACTATCCTTCAGATAAACCATGAACTTTTACCTAATTCTTAGTAGCTATTGCAGGCAGAAATGGGTCTTGAGAGAAATTAGAGGTGCAAAGGTAATGGCATAGGTTATTAACACAAAACCATTCCAAATCCTTGGCACTGAAGGATTATCATTACTGAACGGGAATTGAAAAACTCTAGCTTTCTGTGCAGGACATAATAAAAGGCAGTAGTTTGTCACAGGGGGAATTCAAACAATGATACAGTAGATATTTAGACAGAGATCAAGGAAGCAAAGGTGCAATCTTCTCCTTTCATAGGTAATTGCATTGAATCTCAACCTTTTTTTTGTCTTGATTTGTTCTGTACTACAGCCTTTCATAGAAAGAGTGAGAGGGAGTAAATCAGGAGAACAGAAGTAGCTGCCTGTGTTTCTCACAGAAGGGTCCCCCAGTGGCTTTGAGAGACCCCAAAGAACTTTTTTTTTCACACAATATCTTGAGATATACTGGTTGATAAAACAGTAGGGTTTATTCACCTTCCTTACAATATCCAGTTAACCTGACAACTTGCTGACTCGTAGTAAACATGTACAAGAAAAAGGCATCCTTACTTCTTGCAAACAAGCCTGATGCATGTGCTTTGTTGCTAATAACAATGCATTGCTCTGAGATGTTAAAAAGAGCTCATGCAAATTGGCCTGAATAACAGCTGGGCTTGTGCCTCTAATTCACTTAGCTCCTGGGAAAATTCTGCTTATCCACTCCTCAAACCTGATGTAAACAAAATTCAAGGATGTTTTGAGATCTTTGGAGTGGGGGTATCAAACACATTTATTTTACTCATTACAAGAATCTTCTTTCTGCATTCTAACGTACAACCAGATGTTTTCTATTCTCTTATATGTCATAACTGTTTATACATTATTTATAAACTTTAGCCTAAACTGACTTTAAAAGAGATGTTTCATTAATTCATTTATTTACTGTACAGATGAATTTTCTCAAAAGGCAATGAAATTTCTGCTGTGTATGAATGTTTTTCCTCCTGGTCTGCTCTGTTTTATAGTGTCTTTAGCCTCTAGCACTGTTGGTTTGGCTGGGCAGGTCGTCCACACAGAAACCACAGAAGTAGTGCTGACAGCTGACCCCATAGTAGGGTTTGGGATACAGCTCCAGGGTAGTGTGTTTGCTACCGAGACCTTGTCTTCTCCACCTCTCATTTCCTATATTGAATCTGACAGTCCGGCGGAAAGGTGAGGTTCGTTCAATTGACTTCTAAGTATGTTTTGCTGAGTGTTTCTTGGGGTACTTTGGACTGGTTGCTTTCAATTTGTGACGAATTGCAGGGCCTTGTTCAATGGAAGTGGGGCAAGTTCTTATCATCCAGAGTCCTCCACCAGCAAACTGGAAGGTGTGTTCATGCAAAAAGGAAAAAAAAGCAAAAGCATCACTGATGTCAAAATACTGATAATTGTGCCATGGGGGGGGAGGCTGTGTTCAGTTTTAGTACAAAATCAAATTTTAGGGAATACCAGAGTTTTGACTTATTGATTATTTCATTGCAGCATTTCAATTGCATTGTTATGCTTACCTGTGTATTTAATCATGTAATGAGAACAACAGTAGTTGCACAGGCAAATACTAACTGTCATTTCACCTGCAGCCCAGGGTCAGAGTTGATGTCCATGGGTGGGGTGGAGGCAGGAAGACCCCTCTTCCTGGGTCCTAGCACATAGAGAGCACAGCCCATGCTGGGAGTGCTCAATACAGTCTTAGTGCAAAGGGGCAGCAGCTTCTGTCCCCCTCTGTGCCTGGGTAGACTGTTGAGCTGCTACGCCACAGTTCTCCTGCAAGGTTGCTGTTGAACGTGTTTGATCAGATGGCTTGTATCAGGAACTGTGTGGCCAGCAGGGCAGTGATCATCCCCCTGTACTCAGTATTGGTGAGGCCACACCTTGAATCCTGACTTCAGTTTTGGGCCCCTCTCTGGGAGCATACTAAAGTGCTGAAGCGTGTCCAGAGAAGAGCAATGGAGCTGGTGAAGGGTGTGGAGCACAAGTCTTATGAGAAATGTCTGAGGGAGCTGGGGTTGTTTAGCCTGGAGAAAAGGATGCTCAGGGGAGACCTTATAGCTCCTACAACTTCCTAAAGGAGGTTGTAGCCAGGTGGGGGTCAGCCTCTTCTCCTCAGGTAACAAGTGACAGTACAAGAGTAAACAACCTCAAGTTGTGACAGGGGAGGTTTAGATTGGATATTAGGAAAAATTTCTTCACTGAAAAGGGTTGTCAAGCAGCGGAATAGGCTGCCCAGGAAGTGGTTGTCACGATCCCTGGAGGTAGATGTGGCAATTCCACACAGAAATGGTGGTCTTGCCAGTGCTGGGTTAACGGCTGGACTCAGTGATCTTAAAGGTCTTTTCCAACTAATTGATTCTGTGATTCTGTGATATTGCTGGTTCTGGTTACATGTACATCTGATTATTGTTTTGTATCGTTGTGTACCAAGGTGTGGGGTGCTGCAAATAGGAGACAGAGTAGTGTCAATAAATGGTGTCCCAACAGAAGACAGCACATTTGATGAGGCCAATCAACTGCTCAGAGACTCCTCTATCACCAACAAGGTCACCTTGGAAATAGAATTTGATGTTGCAGGTATGAATGGCCTGTTATTCTGTCTTGTAAGAAAAATGAAGGAATAAATCCCAAGTACATTGCAAGTATACAAGTATTAGGCATCGAAGGTGGAGGCTTTCTTCTCACATCTGTACCATTCAGTTTTCAAGTGACTTATTTGAAACGTATGTCTTCTTGGACAGCTTTCTCATTTCACATAGGCCTGCAGTGTACTTCAGAATGAAAATAGAAATGACGGGTCCTGTAGTAAGATCTGTTGACTGCCTCTCCTCTGAGATATTTCCGGACATTTTTCTGCCCTGATATAGAAATGTTCTGCTGAGCAGAGACAAATCACCTACAGGCCAAATACTGAAATATTTTGTTAGACAGAAGAATATCATAAAAGGATGAATAAACAGAAAACTCTGAGGAATTTCACTTACAGTATATCAAACCAACAATCTAAATAAAATAATAGAAACTGAATTAATAAAGGCCAGAAAGAGTCATTGTTAATGTTGCTAGTGAGTCTTTATTATCACTAATGACTTTCCTTTATTCTGTAATGTGTTTAAGCATACAGAATACATCTATAAAATCACAAATTGTGTGTATTAAACAAGCACACATTATGTGTGCACTACCAAACTATGTGAATATTAAAAACTATTAAGACTTGTCTTAAATCTGACAGTAGCTCCTTTTTAGTCATGACAATGTCAGATGTGCTGTATTTTGTGTAGTGTGATTATTGGTTTTGGTATTATTTCAGGCATTGGAATGGGCTGCCCAGAGAGGTGGTTGATTCACCATCCTTGGAGATTTTTAAACGCAGATTGGACGTGGCACTGAGTGCCATGATCTAGTAAATGGACTGGATTTGGACCAAGGGTTGGACTCGATGATCTCGGAGGTCTTTTCCAACCCAATTGATTCTATGATTCTATGATTCTATAAAACATTATGTCAAAAGTAGGCTAAAGGTTCCTACTGTAATTCTGTATATTCTTTAGGTGTACAGACATCCATCTAGTATAATGTTAAAAAAAAGGTCAACTACAGTGTGTACATTCATATACATAGGAAACAAAATATTAAAAAATAAGAAAACCCAATAATGAGAAAGCCGCTTAAATACACTTGAAATCACATGTATTTTATTCCCTGCACTTGTTTGTGCTTCTCCAATTTGCTCCATGATAGCAGACTCATACTCATGGTTAGAGTCCTCTGCCACATGTGTGTTTGTACGTTTCCACAGCTGTAAATTTCAGTTATTCTTTTTCAGGTCAAGGGCCAAACCTTTGGTAGCAGTGATGCCAAAAGTCAGGGCTCAAATACAGTGCAGTGTGTTCAAGTGAGCTTTTTCCTCTGTCAGCTCCAGGCATTTCTCCATTACGGATGTTTTGATTCCTTTTCTTCCCACTAGATGTAAAATCCATGGCAGTTACCTTAGTGGACAGTTAAGAAAGTGTTAATCCTACAGCAACAAAGGCCTGAAATCCTTACAACTCAATCTCCTGTCCTTTTAATTAAAAGTTATCTGCCAGCAGTAAAATTTTCACATATGCTCTCAAAACTTGCATATGAGCTAAAAACCTGCAGTCTCAGCTGGCTTCTAGCCCGTGCAATCTTCACAAATTCAGTTAAACCTTAAAAAAAATTGAGTTACTGTGAAATTAACAGTCAAGTTATAAATCATACTTCCTGTGTCCTACCTCCTTCACTTCAGCACCTGTGTTTCATCTGTGCCATGTGATTCTGATGTGTAGTGTATACGTGTACAATTTATACGTATAGTTCCATGCACTTGGAATTGCTCTGCCTTATAAATTATCTAACATTTTAAATATATTTTTATAGAATCAGTTATACCAAGCAGTGGAACATTTCATGTGAAACTACCAAAGAAGCATAATGTGGAACTTGGCATCACCATAAGTTGTGAGTAAAGTGCTTATTTTTCAGACCATGTTTATGAGATAATCTGCAGAGACTAGATTTTGTGGCTAGAGACTTATGTTTCTTTTGGTATAAACTTCTTTTTCCTTTTTCTAGCTTCTTTTTCTGCTTTTTCTCTGATGAAATACCATTCTGTAACATATTTATACTTCCCTTCAAATAGTTAATGAAGCCAGAAGTTTGCCAGGTCTAATGCTTGACCTATTCCTTCATGCATAGTACATATTTAACTCCCATAAAAATTTTTTATTAAAAAAAAAAAAAGAAAAAAAAAAGTCAACAGAATTAGGTCCATGCAAAAGTATTTCCATGGCTGTGAAGTTTAAAGCAGAGTCTGCCATGGTCTCTCACAGGTTCTTGAACAGAAACCCCACTTAGCTCAAGAGTTCCCACAGGCATGAGGATTCACATACATGGGATTGTTTTCTGCTTCAGAACCCAGAGTCTCAATCTGTAGAACTAGTGGGCAGTCCTGAATGTGTGGGTCACATAGCAAAATCCCATTTCAATGAGGATTTTAGAGATTGCTAAAGAAGGTAGCAATGGTCTGCATTACTCTGTTTCTCAAAAAATATTTGTTACTGTTGTTAGAAATCAAAGTGTTTTTATACTTATTTTGTTAGCAGATAGTAAACACTGTGTTAGGACTGGATTTTGACCGTGTAAACTCTGGCATACTGAGTTCAGCCCTTAATGGAAGGAAAAACAATCCATATCAAAGTTAATGGGCTTGTGCCTGACACTGCAGAATCTGGTGTCATCAGAATTAGCATTCCTTTATGGTTGTAGCCTTTCTTAAACTGTTAGTCTTTCTTCGGAATTATTCATGTGTCTTGGGGGAAGACTGTGCTGTGACTTGTATTCTCAAAGCTTTTACCAGCACAATAGAATAAGGTTAATCAAAAGTACTGCAGGGTACTCAGTGCTGAGGATTACATCTGAGGAACAAATGAGAGACACTGCAGGCCTGTTTGCTTGCATTGCACACTTGAGTGAGTAATTGTTAGACTCTGTCAGATGTGATGTGATGCTTGAAGCAAAATCATAGGTCTACATGTATTTATTTGTGCAAATGAAAATATTGGGAAATGAGAAAACCTGGAGTGAGGCTGTTCTATTTAAATGTTATTCTTAGGATCAGTAATGGTTTGTAAGATTATTGAAAAAATAGGGTCTTCCTAGTAATTTGATTTGTGTTGCTTTTTGGAATTCAGACATAATGTGCTTTTTTTTTTTGTCTTAGGAATAAACTTTTAATGTTTTTGGAATTTAGTATTTAGCACTCCTCTTCCAAACTTTGCATACTTTACTGACTAGGATCTTAATTCCAAAAATTAGTGCTTTATATAATCAGTGACATGATTGGTCTTTTCTCTGCTCTTCTCTGTCTACTGCAGTATCTTTAATATTTAAATTAATTTTTCTGTTATGTATAATAGTCTCACCTATTAATACTATTTAATGCATATGAAATGTATAGAGGATTAATTATTTACTTGGTTTTAAAGGGTTTATACTAATAACTGGAAGTTTGTGAATTTGCTTGGTAGAAGTCTTGAATTGCTGCATTTCATGCTTGCTTTTCAGTACTTCACTCTGTTCTACCTAATTAATTCCGAAATGAGGCAGTCTGATTTGAAGAATATAAGCATATATTCATTTGAAGAATATAAGAATATATTCATTTTGTCAAGTTCCTGTCAGGGCACTTCAGCACATTAGCATGCCATTTATTACTGATATTGTCAGAAAGCTATATGATTTCTTTTAAAAAACGAATACTAAGGGAAACTTGACAGAGTTGGTATGACCAGTCTTAAACCGGGGTGATGGGAGTGATCAGATCAGATGATCAGATTTTGGGCTTGATCTGTTTAAGTGCTATAGAACTGTTGCATCCTCTCTCTTCTCAAGTTAGTGGAGTTAGGGATTTTTATGAGAAAGTCATGGAATTACCTGACCTGAGAGACAAGACAGACATTTTTTGTCAAAAGGGAAATGTAACCTTACCTTGTGTTGGCACCTGAACACACATCTGTTTTAAGTCCAGGACTTCTAAGTCAGCTGTTACGAGTCAGACATCCTGTAAGCAAAATTTATTTTTCTTTCTTTGTGATGTTTTGCTTCATAATAAACACCAAGTGTGCCTGCATGGAGTTACAGCCAGGTATTTGAAGGCATATCTGAGGTGACACGCAACATAAAGACAAGCTAATTCATGGCCCTTGCAAAACAAGGCATGTAATAGGGGAAGAGACTTCTCTTAGTTTCAGATTTATTAATGCAAGAGAAAAATAATAGAGAAAGAATAAAACTCCCCATAGATAGCAAAACCCCTCAGAAAGCAAGAGAAGAAAATTTCACGAGCACCATTGTTAACGTTAATTCAGGGCTCTGAGTTCGGGAGAGTGCATGTCGGTTACCTCACAGTAGGCCTTGCCCACTGCTGCCTTCATACACACGCTGGACTCCTGTCATCCTTCCCTTATCTCTGCAATATCTGTCTAATTTTTCCATTAATAGATACACTCAATAAAGACCTTATTTCATAGTTTGCAAATAAAAGTGACTATAGAGTTCATGCTTCAGATGTCATTATTTGCACAGCTGTTTAGAGCCATTAAAATATCTCAATTCTTAAAATTATGTAATCCAAATAAAGCATGACATAAATATCATATATACTGATAATATAGATTTATATATTTATATATGTATATAAAAAAAATAAAGCAGTGTCCCTGCTTTTATAACAGAACCATTCCCTAAAAGAAGGATGGCTTTCAAGTAGATCTAGTAGTGTTCAAATCTGTTTCAATTTATTTGCCAGTGACATTGATTTTAGACCATGTAATGGAATATAGATTTTTTTTTTTAAAGATACATTTTTGAGGCAACTGACTACTTTTGTCATAGACTAATTTTTTTTTTAAAATACATTGAATGATATCCAATAAAGTGACTTACTAGTAGATTCTGGTAATTGTAGATAACAGCTTTTTTTTTTCATTTGCTTTCTATCTTAAGTAAGATTCTGATATCCTTACTGGTGATGAACTGCAGCACTTTGCTTCATAAATAATCTTTCTGAAGCTTATGGAACTACTCAAGGAATAAGAAGCTGCAAAGCTGGTAAGAATATCAGAATCTCACTGAAACAATCATCAGTTTTTCTAAGTCATTTTCACTAGCAGCTATACTATAGTCTCCTATATCATTTTTGTATTTCATCAGAAACAAGCTTTGTAAGTATCTACGGATATTTAGCATTGACTATGAGAATTTGCTTTTTAAAGCATGTTTCTGTATATTTTGGGATTTCACCTGGCAAACCCTACTTTATTTTGCAACGTTACAAGTAATTATTTTCAAGACAGAGAAAAAAATCAGCAGATTTCTCAGCTGCTCCACATGTACCAATACTTAAGGAATAAAAGAGCTGCATCAGTCTTAATTTTAAAAAGCTCTTTCACCTATTTGATAATCACACTATTTTTAAAAATGTCTAATAGCTGTTAACCAGCAATGTAGACAAATGGATTGACTTTGTATAAAAAATATTTTTCCATCACATGAGCATTTTCCTCTGCTTGTTTAGTTTGTTCAGTTTGATAAAATTCCAAAGCTTGAAGCCAGGCTGAGATTAGTAAGTGAGTTTTGGCTAGGTGGTAGGTGAGATGTCCACTCCAAAATCTGTTTAAGTCACTTTGTGGTTTGGTGTGTTTTGTTTTTTTTTTTTAATTAGCAGTGAAATAAGAAAGAAGCATTGTTTGAGGGTTGTTTTTTAACCTAATGGAACAGCTGATCTACAAAACTGACAACACTTCACTGAACTTTCTTTCAAGTGGCAGGGGAAGTGTAGTAGTAGAAGTAGGGTAGAAACCTGGTATGGAGACCTAGGATCATACAGTAATTTAAAGAGAGAGAACAAACAACTTGCTTAAATCAGCCTTTTAGTTGCAACACTAAATTTAGTTACCTGTACAACCTTATGCACTGTTTGGTCCACTTGTAGTTCTTCAAACAGACTGTGTAAAGTCTCCGCAAAAGCTGAACAGTAGGTAGACTAACAGCTGGGTCAGGGAGCAGAAAGGATGAGATTTTTGTTGGACAAGCAGAAGGGGATAAGGAGAGAAAATGAGTGGAGAGCCATAGCAGGGAGACAGCAGATGAGGAGAGAGACTGAGCTGTGATCAGGAGTAGGTGCGGCTGCAAACTTGAACAAGAAGGCTGGACATGGCTGATGGTAGGGTGCTTTGTTTTTAATAGCCTCTTAAAAACAAAAAAAATTCTGAAATTAAACATAAAAATAGAGACTTGAAGCTGTACAGTGTCACTTCAAACCTGCATTAAAAGAGTATCTTAATTAAGTGGTCAAATAATGCTTTCTCCCTGGAACTCTTGCTTCTCTGCTCTCTGGGGAGAGTTCAAGCAGTGGTGTGTAACAAAGGGGATGGAGGCTGCATAATGAATGAGGTTGAGGATTGCAGAAAGACAAAGGATGTGATCTCATGGTCAAGATGGTTTAACGCTGCCCTGGAGAAATTAGGGTGTTTTTCCTTTTCTCTGCAATAGACTTGTGCTGAGACAACTAATTTTTGGGGGTGGAGATTTTCCGGAGATGGCTGCTTGATTTTCTGCAGAAACTGTCGAGATCCTGGGGTTGCACTTGCAGAAAAGCTGAGCATCTGCAGCTGTTGCTAAAAATGCCAGTAGTTGTGCTTTGGACATAGAAGCTGTTACATTCTACAAACGACTGTGAGATATAAAGGCGTGGATGTCTGAAATTGCTCACCAAAAAGTGTCATACTTTGACCTAAATGTTCCTCTGTTTTCTTTCCTTATCTGTAAAATCACGATAATAGTACTCAATCTTCTTGCTGGGGACAGCATCTGTTCACCAGTATTTGGAAGGCAATCTTAGGCTGTGGTGATGTGCAGTACAAAAGTTCAGGAGATAATTAGTGATTTTATCTCTGCAACACAACTTGACTAGTTTGTAGTAACTATGTCATGAGTATTGAATGCTAATAAAGCAAAGTGTACCTTCTTATTAAGGGCTTGTCAGCGTGGGGTAATTCATTCCACACAAAGATGTGTTTGGTGCCTACAAAAAGGCTTTCATCCACCAGACCTAATAACAGCCCAGGGTCTGACAAAATACTGCTGGTAAACACTTACTCAGTTTGAAGCTATGATAACTTTGTGTGCAATATCATACCCTTTGCATCCACAGATACTCTGTGGCTTTCCACTTTGAGCTGTGCTCTTCCCCCCATTTTGGTTCCTTGTCTCTTCTTTTTGCAACAATAATGGACTGTTTTCTTAAGTGCTAGTATTTTGATAAGACAATTTCATAGAAGTATTTCAGTACTCAAACCCTACACTGCAGACAATGTAGAGTGGGTAGCACATAACCTCAGAGACTTGTAAGGCAACTCAGAGGGTAAAAACATAGAATTTAAAAAAAAATTCACCAAAGTGATACTTTAAAATTTTAAACAGATACTAATTGGTGAAACAAATCCAAAGAATTCAGGAAAATCATGGAATTGTTATAGAGGATATAGCTGACCTATGTCATGAAAGTATGATAAATAAGCAGTGAAAATTACACATCTTGCAAAAAGTTAATTACGGTTCTCTACATTGCAACATAGGCATTTCCTGAAAGCATGCTGTTTCAGACAAGTTTCTAAAAATTCTTAAAAGTCCCTGTATGTCTGTCTTCTGGACTTTCAAGACATTGCATTTGAAACGTAGCTATTTAGCAGTTCCTGAAGAGGTCCTTTGGACATTCAAAGTCTTTCTTGGCCAGGACAGCTAAGGTTAACAAGATCTATTAGCATATTGTGCTGGACACATCACTGTTAATTTACCTTGTGGTTGCTGTAGGTGAAGATTGTCATTTTCCATCAAAGAGAAGATTCATGAGCTGCTAAAGTAACTGACATCAGGATTTTGTAGGTGATCCTCCAATATGGGCAGCTTTTTGGGTGATTGTCAGTTAGGCATTGGAGCGTAATGGAAAAGTACCCTCTGTGAATGAATGTAGGGGACTCAATACACAGAGCAGAAATTACTTGGGGCAAAGAACCCTAAATGAGCAAAGCCCATTAGCACTTCCAGGAGAACTGAGAGCCTTATACCACCTGGAAATGTTTTAATATTAGCACGCTCTTCGTTAACAACAGTCCCAAAAGTCAGGCTGTGTTCACCGCATGGACCACCTCCTGGCCAGAGCAGCTGTAGTGGCACACTTCCCAGTGGTAGACAGCATGTGCCACTCAGTTGTCTTTCATCACCCACAAGTTCAAAGCCCACTGCTTACCATATCAGACCTTCAGTGCAGTCTTCTGTCAGCAAATGGAAGAACCCCACAAAACAGTGCATTCAGTGAAGCCACTCTAAGAAACAGTCCTCTGGAAGCAGTCAGTAGTTGTTGTCTTCTTCTGGGATAGTTAATTGCTTCCTATGCAATCAAAAGTCAAGCAAAATTGCTGAGTGAATTTCCTGGCCAAGGGAAACTTGTCAAATATTTTTTCACAAGTCAGTAAAGAATTGCAATGACTGGCATTGAAGAGCAGAGCATCCTTTTAACCATGAGGAACAGATAGAAGATTAACAGTTAATGTCGGATACTTCAAAAAAGAGATGAGTTAGCTGTGCAAAGAGAGGAGTGTGGGGGGGCTTTACTAAATTGACCATTGCTGGAATTCCAGTGCTTATAGTAGGTATCCCCAGTACAAAGATGGGAAAAGTCCACAATGCTTAAGGCCCAGCAGCAGTATAGGGGGACAAGGTTACTCAACAAAAGAGGCACATGTTTATTTTGAGGAAGCAAGCATCCGTGTGATGTAAGCTACATCTGTGCAAACATGATAACTCTGCATCAGAGTTATGTGATGATATGTGTCACCACTATCCACAGCATCTCATTTATTGTGAAGTATATCTCTTCTCACCCAGGAATCATTACCAAATTTGTACCTCTGCCTTAAGCACTGGGTGGGACAGAAGTGGATGTGAAGAACATGGGTTGGCCCACTCTACATATTTTGCCAGAGCAGCTCTGGAGGTCAGGGATATAATAAAACAAGATCTGTTCTGGCAAAGGATCATCATTAGTGCTTGTGCTGAAAAGTTCTACTAACAGAAAATCTTCTTTATGTGTTATAGCTACATAGCGTTTTATGATAGATCACTGGAGCTGTACTGTGATATCTTCACATGGTTCAGTCCTGGTCTATCCCAGAATTCAGACACATCAGACTAAGTGTACTTTGTACCAGTCACTGTAATTCTGGAATTTTCTAATTTTTGAGTCTTAGTAATGCAGTCCTACTAATATGTTGCTGATGTTTGTTTTATTATATGTATGTTTTATTATATAATTTAGAGGAAGGGAAGGAATATAATACAGGTAAATAACGTGTATGAAGTGTTGACTTATGGACATAATTAGCTCGTCTGCATATCTAGAAATAAAAACAAATGCTTGTATGTATTCTTTATTACAGCTCCATCCAGCAGAAAACCAGGGGACCCTCTGGTTATTTCTGATATCAAGAAAGGAAGCGTTGCTCACAGGTAAGACAATCAGTAAAAATCTGTTTCTGTTGTGTAACCAGCCAGATTCAAGTTAAACAGAGGGAGATTGTGAGAGATGCTTTTTTTGGTTTGTTTGTAAAAAACAGGTAAAAATTTAAAGTCCAGTGTATTAAGAAATAATAGTTTTTAAAAATCCATCTCCTTTCTAAAATAATGTTCATACCTTCTAAAATACCTTTCTTTTAATATTACTAGAATTTCATGTAAGCTTGTTCATTTGTTCACAGGACTGGGACACTTGAACTGGGTGATAAGTTGCTTGCAATAGATAACATTCGACTTGACAATTGCTCAATGGAAGATGCTGTCCAGATCCTTCAGCACTGTGAGGACCTTGTAAAGTTAAAGATCCGCAAAGATGAAGATAATTCCGGTATTAGCAATGACCCTATTGCAGAGTCTTGTGTATTTTCAGGAGTTTTAGAACATGGGAGTTTTCTTTTACATTTAAATTTTAGCAAAATGTTTTTTTGTAAATATGTCTGGTTTATGCTAATAATAATCATAAAATGTCACCTAAAAAGAATTTTAGTGATATATAAAGTTTTGAATTTTCTCACTGGCTATACTTGCAGGAACTGCACTGCAGAATGGGGTCTTCAGTTCTCTGGAAAGGGAGTTTCCCCACATCTGCAGCCATATAAAGTTGATCTGTTTCTTATCAGAGTATTGAGATTTTCTCTGCTTTTAACGTTGGAATCATGGTTATCAAAGCATGCTTTGTCCATAAACTTACAAATTTGTTTTCAGTATGACTGTTCACATGCTTAAAGGTAAGTAGTACTTTAAACGCTGTGCTGAATAGCTGATGGAGGAGCCATGTCTGATCAGCCCAGTGGAAGTAAAGGACCTGCCATAATTTTGCACACCTGGAGATAATAAAGTGAGTTCTGTTATGCATTGTGGTGGCAAAGGAAGTAAGACAGTTAGTTATAAATACTATTACTACTGGTAATTTGTATTACAGTGTTACACAAAAGCATGAACTGTGGATTCACTTCTCTTTAGCTCTATACAATTTACAACAAAAAGGCACAACCTGCCACACTTTATTGTTTGAAATCAAGTGCAACTGTTGAACCAGTGTTTAGAATTGCATTATAACTCTTTTTTTCCCTTTAATTGCTTTTGAAAGCAAACTAAGTATCTTCTCTGTACGATCAGTATAAAGCAAAGGCAGATGCATTTGGTACCTTGTACAAATTGGCTTTCAGAAGTAAATTTTGATCAAGGAAAGTGAACTGCCAATGCTTGGCAGAATATTGTGCTTAGCTCCCTGCAGATGATGAGGTGGGATTGGCTACACATAGTTGGTCCATCTTGGACAGAGGTTGTTCAAACTGACCATGGGCTATACATCCCAAGGGATACCTCACTGACAGTTTCTTTGCAAAACTGAACCAGGTATGTTATGATGAGCAAACTGCAACTACATTTGCCAGAAGATTGACGGGAAGGAAGTTTTGCTTTTTCTCCTGGACAAGAGGATTTTTTCAACTGTTCCTGGTACATAGGATCCCTCCTTCAAATTCTTCCCCTCAATTGGGAGACTCATTATCAGCCTGCAGAGAAATTACCAAAGACCATAAGAGAGGAGGATGATTTAGAGCCATGTAGAAGAAGTAGTAACTTCTCCCACACTTCTGTTTTTCCTTCCTCTGCTATCTCTCCCACTCCTCCCCTCCTCCCTTCTCCAGACAGTTGTATGTGTCTCAGAGCTGTGTTCCTCAGAGCCACTGTGCAGGTGAGGCCAGCAGCAGGGTAGTACATGTCATGTGCTCCCCAGACTGTGCTGCTCTTTGCCCTTTTCACTGTATTGGTCAGATGTTAACTCTGAAGAGCATGAGACTAGTGAACAGAGCAGAGACATTGTATCACAGGAAGGGAAAGGTGGAAAATCTCAAAACCATGAGACCCACAACCATGGTAGTTTGATTATATTTCCTCCACAGATGGAGATATGTTTTCAGCAGTTTTTCTCTTCTCTATTTTTATTGCCAGCTTCCCAAACAGGACAATTTTATCTCCTGGTTAACCTAATGGCTACCACCCTTTCTTGAATATCAGTGTTCTTTGCCTTCATTGCAAAACTGGCCTTTATGGTGGATTCAGGCCACATTGGATAGCTCACATTGCTACTGCCTGGAGAGCACTGAAAGAACACTGTAGCATTCTGCCGTTAATTTTCTGACCTACAGCTAACCAGAAAACAGACATAATGGCTATTACCTTTTCAATTATCGTGGAGGGTTACTTTTCATCCTTCAGCTGAAGTCTTGCACCATGTCAGTGCCACACCTGCGTAAACAGTACCAGCATTAGAACCCAAGGGATTTGTGGTTGTTCCATAAATGCTTTTAGCAGCAAGGATGAGCTGCCATTCTTCTGCTGTACAGTGGCAGCATGCATGCTAGCCCACTATATGCCAGCCAGAGGCTTCCAGTGCCGTCTTGGGAGTTGAATGCTTCTGGAAAGAGCATGTCAGATAAAGTGCTGTTGGTGTAAACTGTGCCAAAACACTGATAACAATGCCTCAAGTAGGCATGAAAATCCCAGTATTTTTTGCTGAATAAACACCACTAGTTCTCCTCTCCTTTGATTCTCTATGTGTACCATTTTCTTTATGTCAATAGCAAGGAAGAAATAGATCGGAGTTGGGGTGGGGGGAAGTTAAAGAACTAAATGTTCTGAAAATTGCAAAGAAACAAAGTGGCTCCAAAGATGTTAGTCTTCGTCCATCTCTGCTTCAGTACTGTGTTCAGTATTAGAAGAAAGAAACTTTGAACCTTTGCTAGTGATGTAGGTATCTTTCTTCCTTTTAAAGCTTTTCTATCTACAGGAACAGAAATGGGAACATATGAATTTTCTAACTTGTCTCAGTTAGTTTTAGTAACATTTACAGAATGTGCATCCTAGACATTTTCCGCATTCACCGAACTGCTCAAAATGTCATTACCCACAGATCTAGGAAAATTTGCCCACCAGACCAGTCATCCTGGCTGAATACCAATATCATAACATGAGCAAGAAAGCATTTGTTATTTTGATCTGAGAATATGCCATTTTAAATTTTAAAATATTACTTCAAAACTCAAAGATGCTGCAGTTGATTACTCTCCTGCTGTGATTTTTATTAATAATATGTAAAGAGCATGCGCTATATAAATACAGGCACCTTTCTTGATGATGCAACACCTTTTGAGTATGGTTTAAGGAAATACATTATATTTAAGCTTACCCAGTGACGTATTCTTTTCCAGTTCTTATGATTGTTTGGTGAGACTAAAATTTCAAAAGAATTCAAATAACTTCATGCAATATAATGAAGTAATATCTAATGGAGTTATTATTCAATTTAGTTGATAATTCAGTATTCAGAAGCTATTTTTGATTGTTTCAAAATCTTAAAACATGTCCATCAAAACTATGAATTCTTTTACTAACACAGCTGCCCATCTTATAATGACTTTTGACTTGCCAGAATTCTTTTAAGGAAGTTTGGGTTTAAAACTTTTGAATTACCTTTAATTCTAAATACTTCCTATTCAGTTCAAGAAACAGCTGAGTATCAGTATTTATACAATAGTAGTAACTTGCTTTTTCCCAAATAATGTGACCTTGCAGCAAAGAAGGCCGACAGCCTCCTGGTCTGCGATAGGCAGAGCCCAGCCAGGAGGTCGAGGGAGGTGATCTTTCCCTTCTACTCAGCATCAGTGAGAGATTTCAGGAGTGCTAGGGCTAGTCCCTGGGCTCCCCAGTATAAGAGAGACATGGACGTATAGTGGATGAGGTGCAGCAAAGAGTCACAACGATGATGAAAGGGCTAGAGCATCTCTCCTATGAGAAAAGACTGGGGGAGATGAGACCACTCAGCCTGGAGAAGAGAAAGCTGAGGGGGATCTTATCAGAATGTATGAATGTCTGAAGGGAAGATGTAAAGCAAACAGAGCCAGGCTCTCCTCAGTGGTGCCCAGTGACAGGACTAGGGGCAATGAACACAAACTGAAACACATGAGGTTCTGTTTGAACATCAGGAAACACTTTTTACTTCGAGAGAAACGAAACATTGGCACGGGTTGTCTAGAGAGGTTGTGGAGTCTCTACCCTTGGAGCCATCCAGAGCCGTCTGGACACAATCCTGGGCAACTAGCTGTAGTTGGCCCTGCTAGTGCAGGGAGTTGGCCAAGATGGCATCCAGAGGTCCCTTTTAACTTCAGTCATTCTGTGATTTTGTAACAAAATAGCCTGAAGCTATATTTTAATAGGAAAGAAGATCTAAAGATTTTAAACAGAGTAAAATTTAGTCTTAATAGAATGAGGCAAGTTTTTCTGGTGGCTTGTGTCCAGGTTTTGGCAATAAAAAAGAAATTGACAATAGATAATTTTTTTCAAAATAATAGAATATGGTTGTGAAATGTATCTGAAATGTAATCCTTTGAAAATGTTGTTTGATTACCAGTCACTAGACTGAATGTGCTATTTTTTTCATTCCCTCTTTCATAAGAAACCAATTGCATCCCCTTGGCATTTATTACAGATGAACAGGAGAGCTCTGGAGCAATTATTTATACTGTTGAGCTCAAGCGCTATGGTGGGCCTCTTGGAATTACAATCTCTGGTACTGAAGAGCCCTTTGACCCTATAATCATTTCCAGCCTTACAAAAGGAGGATTAGCTGAAAGGTAAATTGGAAAGCAAATTATTTTCAAATGTTTCAAGATAAAGATTTGTTTTGTTTACCTGAAGATGCTAATTTTTATAGCTTAGAAATTTGTTTTTTAAATAATTATCTAAATCTGACTTTATAATCTTTTTGCTGTTGTTTTTTGATCATTGCCAAGCTCAGGAGCATGAGCGATATCTTAACAGGATGTATGTGTATATACTGTACAAGGCATAGCAGAGAATTGTGGTTCTTATTATAAATCACCAAGGAAATACTAATCAATCAAACTGCTCAGTCACAGGAACATTTTAGCAGCCTTTTAAAACCAATAGCCTTGTACAGTATAATAAGTGAGGAAAGCACTTCATGTGTCTAAGTTTATCTGAGCTTGTCATATACTTATCTGCCACTGCAATCTGTATGTGTGCTTTCATACACCATAGCAAGCATTATCAGAGGAGCAAAAGTGCTCCTTGTGGTAAGTGATAGAGAATAATGAAATGGTAAGGTTTTCTATCACCTGTTATTTCTAAGATTGGTTGAGTCATTCAAACTGGCACCTTTGGTGGTGGTTTCCCAGAGAACTTACAGCACACATGATACTATGCACAGCCAGAACCCAGTGTGTTTACACAAAAATAATTTGTTTTCTTTTCTTGATTGACCCATCCTGAAAGCCACGTTGTTGAAATAGCTGGTTACTTGCTTACAACACTTTTATGTTGTGAGACTTTCAGAAACTTGACTCTTTTCAGAGCCTAGTGAGCTGTCTGAGGTTGCTCTTAAACAAGCGGGCTGCAATGAATATCATCTACAGGTGATTAACTCAACTGTCTCAGTAACAGAAATCACCATCTTCATGCCTCAGCTCTGCTATTGTCACTACAACAAAGGTGACTTGCTTCAAGCATTTCTAACAAAAGAATTATTCTCTAACACAGCTATAAAAGCAAAAAGAAAGAAAGGAAGGGAGATAGAGCTTTCATGCTCCAAATATGCAAAGAAATTGCCTTTGTTGCTTTTTATGCTCTCAGTGTTTTACTTGTCTCTTATTTTAGGACTGGGGCAATTCACATAGGAGACAGAATCCTTGCCATAAATAGTAGCAGTCTGAAAGGAAAACCTTTGAGTGAAGCCATTCATTTATTACAGATGGCAGGAGAAACTGTCACCTTGAAAATCAAGAAGCAAACAGATGGTGAGTGTGGCCAAGGGTACCATCAGTGGTCCTTAATGCGTGTGTTATTACAGATTAACAAGCATTTAAGCCATCTATGGAAAAGTATTGTGTCAGTAATAAAAAGCAGATTCTTGGAACTGCAGTAAAGCAATGACCACCACCAGCCCTTTTTTTTTTTAATCCTATTCAGCTACCAGTCCCAAGAAATTTTCTGTCCCTGTGGGTCACATGAGTGAACTGAGTGATGCTGAAGATGAAACCTCTGCTGCACAGAAATCTGGCATGCTCTCGGACGTCTATTCCACTACAGTCCCAAGCGTTGACAGCGCAGTAGAGTCGTGGGATGGCTCTGGTATTGATACCAGCTTTGGAAATCAAGGTACTATAAGGAATGCAGTTGACATTTAAAGTAGGAATTATTGCCTTCATGGTTGACCTTCCTTTGCCCTAAAGAGAACTTTCTATCTGTACTAACTTTAAACTCTGTACTTTGTAATGTGCTGCTGTCTCATTATGACCATACACCGCACCAGGCAGCATGATTTCTTGCACTTGGCTGACCTCAGATTTACTCTTTCATGAGGATGTGATGTGTTACAAAGCATTTATCAATACATTAACAGGCTTTTGTTAGCTTTACTGACATCTGAATAGCCTGGTCCATAGCTCATCCACAACTAAATGAGCTTATCCTTCAAAGACAGATCAATGCAAGGCACAGAACACTCTGGAGATGTTCATGAATTTGATGCCCATATGCAGTTAATTTTTAAGTGCCAACAGATTTATTATTAACTGATGAAGGGGAACATGAGTCATTGCTTATGATTTGTAAATCTTTTGCTTCTTCCTCATTCCTGCAGAATTGACATCTAACTTTCAGCTGTTAAAAACAATCATTCTATTTAAAAACATGATTTTCCATAATGATATTTTTTTCTACTTCTGTTTGACTATGGTTTTAGATAAGTTTTTCAAATAATCTCAGTTTGTAACACATGTTTATTTAGGCAGTGAGGGATACAGACATCTTGTAATATTCTTGATAACAAGAAAAATAACTTACACACAGCTTCAGTGTTTTATTTGACTCTTTTTAAAATTTTTACTTCCCTAGTAAAGCATGTATTCCCACCACCTGGCAGGTATTTGAACAGGTAGATCCTTACCTCAAATAATTTTTTCACTGAAGTTAGAGTTTGGATGAATTTTCCCCCTTTTCTGTTTTTAGCTGTGCTGGTCAATTTATCAAAATAAGTCATGTTAGATTTTCTTCTGATATTTTTAAATTCTAAGGAGAAATATTGCTGAAAAATGTGCCAGAACATTAATTCTCATTTCCTGGGTGAATTGATGGTATTTGGAGCAAATTGTTCAACTGTGGAAAGGATTGAGGCCCAGAATGCTTTCCAAAGTCCTGATGATTCAGGTGCCATGCCAAAACTAAACCAGTATCTCAAAGCAGATTTTTTTTTAACTCCCTTGAAAAAATCAACCCAGACTTGGCTGGATACATGGTACTTCTGCTAAACAGCCTGAGAGTAAACAGATTTGTGCCTTTATCCCTTGCTGTGGTGGTGGCTCACATTTCTAATAAAGTTCATTCTGTCTTGACCTGTTAAGCTGAGTTTGGCTTTTCTCCAAACTTTTCTTGGCAATAAGCACAGGATGAGAAAATTGAGGAGTTTGGGGGATGTTTCTGGAGCACCAGATAATGCTTTATCCTATTAGTTAACAATTTAATGCTGGTGAGCTATCTTTTCTCTTCTTGAATTAATACCCCATTTTGTACCTTTGTCTTATGTGTCTGCATTACTAATCTGGAGGCTACCCCTCACAGCAGTCACATCTTTGCAACCAAAATCCTTCCTAGAATCTGGGAGTTTGTTAATGTCTGCCAATTAGCTGGAAAATGCACACAACTGTGTAGTTACATGGGATTTGAGGGAGACAGGTCTAGACTGATTTATGGAAGCAAATTACCCTCCTTAGAGGAGTGGCAGCAGTGATAGTTGTTAGTCATCAACAAAACAGAACTTTCTAATCCAATATGCATATCAAAAAACAGCAACTACAGAGCTCAAAAAGGAATACATCAATATGAAGGATATTATATATGTGTAATATTCAACTCTACCATAATGGATTTTACTTACCAGATCAGGATCAGCTTGTGACCAGTTGATCTGTGTGTTCTTGATAACATCAGTGGGAAGCTGGTTCCTACTTGGAATTCAAAGTATACCTAGTTCCGTTAAAGAAACACTATTGAAGTAATACCTGCTTTGCATATATGATAAAAGCACCCAGAAATAAACTCCTCAGGTATAAAGGCTATCTAATGCCACTTACACAGCCTTGAGATATTTGGAAATGGGTGATAGAGAAATGGCTTTCTGCAAGGTGAGCTTTCCAGGGCCGTATATTGGTCCTGGGAATGTGTACCCAGGACGATTGTGAGACAGGCCTTTTCTGAACTCTCAGAGCCCTAGTAAAAAGGGTATGTAAAAAGTCAAGTTCGTGGGATTTTTTAATGCATCTTTGAAAACTCTTTTTTTTTCAATAAATCTAAAGCACATTTTTTGTAATAATTTAAATTTCGGGCATGTTGCGTATGACCATGTTAACACATTTTAGCACATCCATAACACGGGATATATTCACTAGTATTCAATCTAGGATGTCAAATGGAAATTGATAAATTGTGGCAATGTCTAGAACTAAACATAGAAGCAGCTGAGACATAAACAGTAGAACAATGTTAGATATATTTAAGGTTCTGCTTTCAGTGGACTTTCACAGGAGAAGCTCTAGAGCACACCTAATTCCAGACATAATTCAGATCATAAATAATCTGACTACAACTGCAAGAACAAAAAAGGTAACAATGATGAATCCGCAAGTTCTAGAGAACCCCACTTCAGAGATGTGCTTGTCTGTCATTACAACATACGCAGTGCTGTAAATATAGAATTCATCTTTTTAGGACACACCTATCAGGCTTCAGGATACAACTTCAATGCCTATGAATGGAGGAGTCCTAAACAGACTAGTTTGTCCCCTCCAAGCAAACCACGAAACCACCCATTTCATGATACAGGACTGGGTGATGAGGAATGGGATCGACCTACAGCAAGCAGGTAAGTTCCCATATGAGTTTCTGTTTTCTGATTTGCATCAACCCTGAGATTAGCTGAGCTGGTTAGAGCATGGTGCTAATAATGCCAAGGTTGTGGGTTCAATCCCTGTATGGGCTATTCACTGAAGAGTTGGACTTTGAAGATCCTTGTGGGTCCCTTCCAACTGAGATTGCTCTGTGATGTTATGCTGTGGTGTCTGGAGGTTGTGGTATATGGTAAAATTTGCTGGACAGCCTTGTCCAATTCCCGTTGATACATCGTTCACCAGTACTGCCTTTATCACCTTCGGGAAATGAATGGACATGTACCAGAGCTGTCAGTTTGAATCAGAGATGTAAATAGAATATAAGTGCACATCTGCATCAGTGCCCCAAATTAACACTTAACTGCTGGAATGAAATTATGTTTTTCTAATGAAGCTATAAGAGCTCTTCCTTTAAATATGAGATACAGTATACTTCATGAAACTTATTAGGGTAGATTAGTGATCTTTATGGAGGATTATGATGCCAAAACCAAGGCATATATTTATTTTGAGTTACTTCAACCTGAAAAAACACAGCATTTATCTCTTAAAAATAAGCAAACCAAAAAATTAGGGCATTTCCCTGGGCAAGCTTCAGAAAAAATCTGATCTGTTTTCCACTCCACAGAAATAAACCTACAAATAATGTGGTTGAAGACAACTGGCATGTTAATCTTATGTCTTCCATAAAAATTCATTTTGGTTTGGGCAAAGAAGCAAGAATTCTTCTTCCATAAATGCTTGAGACATCCACAGTGATTCAGTAGGAGAAAAAAGTGATCCAGGTAGAAATGTCTTGTCCAAAGCTATGGTAGTTTGCCATGCATTTATTCCTTCTGTTCTGAGAAGTAAATCTCCTTTTCAGTTGATTTCTCTGTGGACAAGAGAACTTCCTGAGGGAATAATTCTTACTTGACAATTCTTGGAGATAGTGAAAGACCCAAATGTCTCTTATTTTCCTATTCTAAGGTTGATCATTAGTGGAACCTCTGCAGAGGCTTGGGTAATTCCAGCTAAAAAACAGTTCTTCCTCAGATGTGGGAAGACACGCATCACAGTTAGAGAGATTTCTGTACTTTTTGTACCCATCCTCAGGACCTGCAGGCTTGCATGTCCTTCATGAGAAATAACACTTTCTTGGTGTACCAGCACAATGAGCCTGAAATCCAAATCTGCGAAAATTCAAGCTGAGTACTAAAGAAAACCTTTCTGATGCCTATAGAAACAGACTGGAGAAGTAAATCCATAAGGTCCAGTCTGTAACCTTTGAAATACAAATCAAGGCAAAGTTTAGATGCTGCTTTCAGAATCTGAATGACAAATCTGATACAACTGATTGCTCAGTGGCATTTTCTCTGGAGACAAGCTTGGCAAGAATGATTGCTAAGATCTGGACAAGCGTGAACTGTCAGTCCATATCCAGCTCCTTTGGTTCCTTCTGGCCAGAACCACACTAGAAGTTTTCATAGGCTAGTAGTGGACAGTGTTTACTAAAGGAAATTAAGATAGCTTTCTTCATACTGCCCATTCTTGGTAACCTAATGTCTTTAATATCAGCATCTTTATCTGCAGTTAAAGTCCATATTTTGTTTCGCAAATGAGATGCAGCCAAAGATTCCAGAACACCTACTGTTTTGCAGCTATGTAAGTAATGGGCTGAAAAAGCTGATGGAGCAGTGAATCAGGAAGCTGGATTGTAAAATACAGAATTTGGAAATCAAAAGCATGTATTCTATTACCATTTTAAGGCACTGTTCAGCAGAAAGTATGCACATTAAAGAGTCTTGTTCTGCTTGTCAGTTTGACTTACTCTTGAGAGTAAATTACAAATTAAAATAATGGTTATTAATGTATCTAAAATGGATTGTGCCACATCTGATGATGTTCCTATACCAAGTACTGGACTGTTTGAGAAGAGCACATCTGTTCTTCCAGCCTGTTACAAGGATCCCTAGAAAAGCACCTCTTCTAGTTCTAGCTAGGCAAGTTATTTTCTTCTCTAACACTAGAAAGTAATTTTTCTTACCTTTATTTTGTGTAGCACAGCATCCAAGAATATGTGGCAACCAAAGGAGACTGAGACATCAGGAGAGAATCAAGAAAACCATTTAAAGCAAACTTCTGTAGAAAGATCAGGTGGAGAGAGCACCAGGAGCACGAAGAAAGAGGGCAAGATGTGGAAAGGTGCCTCTGGAGGGCAAAGGAAAGGTGGGGGACAGCTGGAAGAGTGGAATACATCCAGGTAGGAAAACAAAAAGTGCACAAAAGCGAGATCCAGCTGGGCTGAGGCAGAGGTGGGTGGTGGGGGGCCTGAGTGGAGAGAGAAAGAAAGGAAGAACAGTTGAAATGAGAAAAACAGGGTAAAAGCAGAAAACACCACATTAACATGTCGTTGAGGGACAATGAAATTTCAGTGGGCAAGCAAATGAAAACGGAGAGCTTAAACTGCTCTGTAGCCTGGTGTCTACCTATCACTGGCAGATAGGACAAGTCTGTTACAGTTCCTGCTCCAGAGATAATGTTTTACACATTAAAACAATACTTACAGGAATGAGTCTACCATATCCTAAGACATCCTATCACCTTCTGATTTAAAAAAAAAATTTGTATCTCATATGGAAATAAGAACCAAATCATAGACACCTATGTCTTTATTATCTGTCCTACTACATTTCCTTCAGCATCTTTAGGCATCCGAACTTTAAGTCATATATCATATGACTTAAAATCAATCTCTCATGTTTCAGGTAAAAAAGCAGTTTCGATGAGAAATTATTTTGGTACCTCTTTTGGCTTTTTGTGCAGTAGCTCAGCTACAAATTACTCGTGTGGCTGTAACAAAGATGCAAAAGTTGAGATTTCACACACCAGGTGACAAGCCTCAGAAAAAGGGCAAAAGAGGAGATGAGAGCAGAAGAAGAAATTGCTTCAGCTGAGAGGTCCAGATGTATAGGCATCATGATTTCCTATTTCACAGAAGTCAGAGAAGAAACGGACCTCCAGTTCTAGGAAATCCAGACTTGCTGTCCCAGACAGTTGCCTCAAATTATCGTATTCATTAGCTCAAGTTCCATTTGATAGTGTGCAGTGTAACAAGAGATATTGTAATGGATAAATTAGTCTACATTCAACATTCACTATTGAACGAAATACTTAGATTTATTGAAAGAGCACATTTCAGAAGTTGAGGATCATTCTAAAATCATGTTTTAAATACTTTCTTATCTTGCCTGGGAGGAATTGCATCTGTGATCTGAGTAGGTATTCTCACCATTACTGTATTGCAATATCTTAGAAGAGACACTGATGCTAGGTGGAGAATCATTGCAACAAGAGATTGAAATGGCTGACCATTGTCTGCTTGACTGACTGCAGCTGTAAGAAAGCATCTCTGAGGCAGAGTATCTGTGTGAAGCATTCAAGCTGTCGTCCCTTGTGCTGGGCAATTGTTCTATTTAAAAGCTATTCTGTAAACAGTTACATTCATGCTGTTCTCGGTAACACATTGTTTGTCAAGCAAGGCCTCAGATGCTTCCATAATAGTGTTTGCTCTGTTTATGTGCTGTTTAGCACCACTAGCTGCAATCCATGGGCAGCTGCTCCAAAGTAACAGCTTGCTGCCACCAAAAGGGCGAATTGTCATTCCTTCCTTCCTCATCCTTCTTCCCCTGTGCCTTTCACATAATCAGCCCTCTCCCATGCAGCAGCTCTGATGTTTGTGTGAACCTTTATTGAGCTGCTTCCCCTTGCCAAAAAATCCTCCTGCTTCTTCCCCTGTATGCACACATACACTGTAGTGGTTTTGCTTTGGGCTGTGTTGCTGCAGCCCAGAGTTGGCATTTTTTATCAGACCTCACTTGCTGAGCAACTTCCCCAACATCACTGTCACCAACATCTGCTCAAGAGTGCTTGTAATAAGGCTTTGGTGCATTTATGAAACACCAGAGACCTAAGTTTCCATGCAAGACAGTTGCATCCCTGAAAGTTTCTCAGTGTTTATGTATGAAATGATTGGAGCAATTTATATTATGGCAGTCAGGTGGCTTAAACTGATAATGATAAATGCAGCTTAGGCTGAAGGAATCAGGTAAAAAGCACCACCATCCCTCTTTGGCAAAACACTGTTTAAAAAAAATGAGGAGTCTTTCCATATTGCCTGGGAGAAGTCTGTGAAGTTGAAAGGTTTTATTGCAAATATTTGTTGCACGGAGCAGCTCTGCACACAGCTACTGGTTGATTCATTAATTTTCATAGGGAGGTCCCAGTTTCAATCCAGTAAAAATGTGTATTGAATTGTTCTTGGAATCCATTTATCTCCTTACTGAACAACTCGCTGCTCAGATCCTGCCAGCTGCTAGTGACTGCCAGGTTATGAGAAGGCTTGTCTGTCATGTGCTCTGCATGTCCATCCGGCCTCTCCTGATCAGCGACTCTTCCCCACTCTCCTGCATAACGTTCTGTCATTCAAATTGCAATCTGTGGCAAGGCACGTGTATAATATATATTTTTAGAGGGGAAAAGAAAGTCCACATTATTTTAACTTCTCATTGTAAATCTAGCTTCACAGGTACCCATGATAACACCGAGGCTGACCAGGAGGAAAATTTCTGGTCTCAGGCTCTGGAGGATTTAGAGACCTGTGGCCAGTCAGGAATTCTGAGGGAACTAGAGGTAGAAAAATCTTAACCTTTCTTTCCAATTATAGAGAAATATAATGGTTTTGGTTTGGTTGACATTCATTTTATTTTCTCCTTTTTTCTTTTAAGTTGCACTAATCACACCAATTCATTTAAAAGCTTTAACCCGTCTCCACAGGACAAGGCTGACAGGCGTCTGTGTTTGAGAAACATGACTCTCGTGGTACCTACCCTTTACCTTTATATTTTTGCTTGTGCAGCTGCCTCCCCTGCCCCTAACCAGAGCTGTTTTCTTTTGTACAATGCAGCCAAAATTCTATAAACATGTTCACCCCAGTGCTTTTGACTTGCAGCTTCTGCTGTGCATAATCATCGATGCTGTCTGCAGAGGCAGCAAATGGCACAGACATTCTTAAGTGAGCATAACCTTCCTGCAGCTATGCATTCCGTTTTCTGACAGACGCTTCATGCAGCTTTTCTTAGCATGTTGTAGGTTGTCTTTTAAATTGAAACTTAATTTGATTAAGATGAACATAAAAGAAAATCAGCTTTTCAAAATGTTTACCTATAATCTTACCACTCTGAAAAAAAGAGAAGCTGCCAAATGTGAGAAATGTTCATTATACAGCAATTTCTTCACTATGTAACAAATTTTTATATTTCGTTTTGAAGTTGATTGCAAATCTAACCATGCTTTATGTTAGATAGTGATGGGGGCAGAGGAGGAAGGAAACAGAGTAACTTTGAGTCTTTATTTTTATAATTATCTTTTCTCTAAGTTGTCTAATCAGAACAATTGAGATTATACTGCCACTTAGAGCTATGGAATAAAAGGTCCTAAAATATTTTCTTTTATGTTCTTTTAAATTCCCGGAGCTGCAAAACTGGCAGAATCTCATTTTCATTTTTATGTTACATAAAGTCCTTTAGCAGCCAGGAGGAATGTGAAAGGCATAACTGCGTGAAAGTTTTTCAGTTCAGATTAATTTACTTCTTCAGATTTACAGCTTTTGTATTGCATGTGTAGGTAGCAAAATGTGATTCTCATTTATTTGTTATTGCAAACTAGAGAAATGTAGGAGAAAATGTTATACTGGTTTAATTACATAGTTAGATATGGTTCAATACTGCAGGCTTCTCTTGCAGTTTTCAGTACTCAGAACATAATAAAAGGATATGGAAATAGATCATTCCAAAAGGGAAGTATGTCATTCATGCTGACCAGAATTCAGTTACTTCAACACGTTGAATTTTCCTCAGCCTTTCACAAAAGTGAAATTCAGAACTGTAGACGTACCATTTACAGCATCACCTCATTGCACAACCCCCAGCTCTGAAAAGAAAACCAGACCCATTCAATATGACAGGATGCTGAGAATGGCGATTCCTCTATTTTATGGAGTGCCATTGCGAAGTCAAGGACTCCTTATCATTTTTCATTTCAAGGTCTTCAGCCAAAGAGCAAAGAAGACTGTTGTTTGCCAAGTCCTCTGGATGCTTTTGCTCCATCAGGCAGTAATATCAGTCATTACTGAGGACAAGAGAGACTGTTGTTGCTACAGTCTATTATCTCATACTGAAAGTAGTACTGGAGCTGGGAGAAAGAAGGGTGACGGACATGCTCACCAGAGTCATAAGCAAACATTTACTTGCTTGTTTTGCCCTTATTTTTTACTTCTCATTTTCAAGCAGGCTGCCTGCATCCAGTCCCAGTGAGAGTTCAGATTATCGTCTTTAAATTTCCCTTTTCATTTGTCTGTTGGAAGAGATAATAAATAGGAAATTCCGCATACCCTAACCCTACAGTGGCACCTCTGTACAGTGTCTGTGCTGGAGTGCATTTGCCTCCCATTCCCAGGAGCAGAAAATCTTTCACAAAGGAGGAGGCCCCTTGTTGTGCATGGGTGCTTTTCATGTCAGTCCCTTCCACCCAGTGGATGAGGTGATTCCCATCATTGTGTTTCAAGACTTCATCCTCCATATATTCTTGCATCTAAAACAAAAGGCTAGCTTTTACTGAGATTAAAACCAGCACTGAGACAGGGGCCAGTATTAGCACTAAGCTAAGGCAGTCACTCTTGCAATATAATATGCATGTCATGCAGAGTTTCTTTTCAGGCAGTGAGCTTACCTGCACTGAGTTTTCCCCAGCTTGGGGTGGTATCTGGGCATGCTCTCTGCCCATGATGACTCTAGAGCTGCCTGCATATTCTGCTGACCTTGCACACACAGTCTGAATTGTAAATGCCTTCCTATAGCTCCAGTTCCAACAAATGCAATTATGCCACAACTTAAATGTGATTTTATTTATGTGTAAAATATTTTTAAAATAAGCAATTACACTACACACTCTTCAGTCTGCCAGGGGACTAGCTTACAAGCATAGTTGTTCTAGTGCTCAGTATTTTAGTTTGAAATGCCATCTGAAAACGTTTGCCCATAGGGTTCATATATTGTTGTTGTGTTTTGTTGTGGTCCTCTATTTTATAGTGACTTGCAAGCAGATTAAACATCTATCCTCTTGCCTTTTGCTGTGCCCTGAGTGTTTGTGTTCTAACAAAGAATAGAGACATTTTTCCTACTGCTGTGAATTAACCACTTACTTAACCCACATTCTCTGTTACAAATTAACCTGTTCATTAATGCTCTAGGCCACAATTATGTCAGGAAGTACAATGAGTTTGAATCATGAAAACCCACAACCTCGTAACCAGCTGGGAAGACAAGCCAGCTTCCAGGAAAGAAGTTCTGTAAGGCCACATTACAGTCAAGCTACTCGTAGCAACACATTGCCATCAGATGTGGGGAGAAAGTCCATGGTTCTGAGAAAATTTAAGCAAGAAATGAAAGAAATCATGTCACCAACTCCTGTGGAGTTACACAAGGTCTGTAATTTTTCTTCTGACAACTTTGAAATAATATATTCAGTACAGGGAATCTAATTATATGGCAACACAGTAAGCACTTTCTATAATGACTCCACAGATATAATTTGGGGGCCATGCATATTAGTTCTTACAAACACATTAATGATAGACCCTTGTGCGGGGAAACAAACAAATAAGATGCATCCTTGTCTACTGTTTCATTTTACAATAAATCCTCAAAAGGCACTGCTCTTTTGAAAGGAACATCCAGTGGTAATTTGAATTGACAAGACCAATAACTCCTCTCTGCAAAATGTGTTCATTAAGAAAGCAAAGTTTAATTTTTAGAAAATACATTTCTATAGAAATTACTCATGAGGGTTTGGGGCTCCCACTGGTCTTTTTTCAAATTAACACTCATTTTGAATCAAATACATGAGAGTTGATGTACATAATATAGAATGTTATTTCAAATTAGATATTGCTTCTTTTCTCTTTATAATTCCTTTGCTCTAAAAAGGATAAATAATCTTCAGTGTATGCAGCGTTTCACTGCTCAAGTCTGTTGGAATCACCTGGTGATATGGAAGTGGCTCTGTACCCCAAGGAAGCACTGGATAAAGTATCTTTAGATGTGCACAGCAAATATCCTGCAAGTTTAAGTCTCAAGTCCAGAGAGGCCATAACAGAACCAATTTCCAAAACCTTGAGGGACATTATAATGCTGTTCTCCTTGATGGGAATGAGCATCTCATTTCCTGCACTCATCTTCCCATTAAAAGTCCGAGATCTTTCCAGGAGGCAGAAGCATGGAGAAATTTCATTAAGACATCACATGTGGCCATTCTCAAGAGATTTGGTTTGGTTTCTAGTCACTGCAGATTTGACTGAGTTGAGTTTGTAGTTCATTCAATTTAGTTCAGTAAGGTAAGGACTCACTGAGTATGGGCTAAATGAATGTTTGTAGAAGGTAGTAGAGAATTGATCTCGTATATGGTAAATGAATTCATGGTCCATGTAAAGAACCAATAGGATGTGTTTAATGGTTTAAGCTATTCATATTTCCAGCTTGATGTGAAGTGATTAATGGAGTTAGTTACTGTGCTCAGTTTTCCTGAGTGGTGAATAAATGTGAGATATAAAACAAAAGTACGCCAGTAGCCATTTCATAGTGTGTTCACATTCAGCAAAGGCACAGTTTTCTCCTATGGATTATAAACCCAGCCTTTCAGGATAAAATAAATCCTTTTCTGGAAAGGAGTCATCAGATTTCTGTTAATGAGTCAGTGGTATTCTGTGATAGTAGCTAGCTCTTAAGAGTCCTGAGCAGTACAAAATACCCTGTCCTTGAGCTTTCTATGGCTTCAGTTGAAGCCACTATTTTTAAGATTGCTTTGACCTTCCATTTTAGTAAATCCCAGTTTTCATTCAGACAATATACCCACTTCTGTCTGTTGAAGTCATGTCAAGTTTGCTTTTACTGTCTGTTTTGTCACCCAGGAAAAAGTAATTTCTTTTCTAAAAATCTAAAAGTTGAACTGCTAACAAGGATTTTCCAAATCCTTACAGTCATTCAAGAAAAATAGAAACTAGTGACTCGATCTTATGGTCTGATTCCCCAAAGTAGGCTTGTTACCCCTATGATCACACATGCAGGTTAACTCAGCTAGCATGGACTGCTTTTGTATTCATGCCCATCTTAGCAAGTTCTTACTTGTTAGTTTTCTTACTGGTTCTTGTGTAGCAGTGAGCCTGTTACTTTCTCTCTCCTTCATTTTTGTATTAGACCTGTAGACCTCTAGTTTAATAACTGTACAGTTGCTACTTCTCATGGACAGCTTGTCCAATGATAGTTTTCAAAAAGAGCTGCAATGCCACAGGAATGACTTCAATCAGGGAAATGCTTTGATTGAAGTATTTTTTATGTATCATCTTGCTGGCAAATGTCCTTTGCCCTCTGCAGGCAAATGTCTTAATTAGCTGGGCCACTGACAAAAAAATAGGAAGTTCTGGAAAACTCTGATGGGTATAAACAGTTCTGAAATACCAGCTAAGACATAGCTTGCCTAAGACTTACCTTGGCAAGCTTTTCAGTCATGTACTTGACTACATGCTGCTGAGCTTTCCCAGTTTCTTGGGCAGGTACCTTTGTTCTCTCTCGGTCCAATGATTCTGCATCCCTATTGGGTCAGGGCCTGTGTGCCCCATAGATCAGAGTTCAGTGTGCAGCAAGTTAACCTGAGTTCTTCACTTGCTCTTTCTTAGTTCACTGCATTACCTTCACCAGTTGTGCATTTGAACTGTCTTTGTCCTGAGGAAGCTAGGATTGAGATAAGTGTGGTACAAATCTCTTCAAACATTTGTGCTAGATGGTTTAATAAGTAATAAGTAGCATGTAATTTAGTTGGATAGTGTATTGCCATATCAGTACCCAAATTTAATGAATGCATTTAATTGATTTTATCTACTTAGGTAATAATATAGATTAATATTTTTCTAAAAATCATAGCAGACCATTTTTTTTTAAGTTTCATAGAGCACACATTCCTCTGAGAACAAAAATATGCACTAGGATGAGATAATTTTTCAATATTATTATTACAAGTAGTCATTAACCTAAAATTACAGGCAGTTAAAATATCTCAATAGCTGATCTGTGCAAGATGTATGAATTTAAATTAAGCATTTTCCCATAGATTTGAGAGGGAGAAGAGGTACAAACACAGACTCAAAATGTGTAAGCTTCTGTTTTAAATTTGTAACTATTTAATTGCTTATGAAACATGAATTAAATTTCCATTTCAGCTTTCTTTTTCCCTTAGGCTCCTGATGTAAATTTAAAAGTCTAACAGATCATCCAAATGGAGATTTTGCTATTGAGATCAAACCTTCCAAAGAGTTATGATCAGCAGTACAGATAAACTAGCATGATTTAGGTGTTGCGTGCAGCCATATTCCCTTCAGACAGGGCTGCTGCAAGTGAAGATGAGAAACCTGTGTGGTAGGGCTTTGCCCATACCCATTATTAAATAAAAATTGAGTACTTCAGATAGCAGAGCTGAGATTTCCTTTGAAGAATATATGCTACCCTAAAAAGAAGTAGCCCCAAAAAGATAACCAGTAATCCAAAAGAAAGTTCTCTGCAGATGACTTCCATCTAAAAAATGTGACAGCTGTCAAACATGCAACAAAGTTAAATTCCTACCTCATCTCTTAAGTGAATAAAGATCAGTTTCTTTAAGCTCATGTTAAATATACCAAAGTCAAGAGAAGATATCCATAAGGAAAACAGTTTTTAAAAATTTAGGATCAGGTATTTTGAAATATAAAAGATGTGATTGTGGGGCAGTGAGTAATTCCCTTCCAGAGTGCTCAGTCCCTATAAATCAGGAAAGTCCAACCTGAACAAGTGGAGGGCAATAAAAGACGTTGGATGATCATTCTCAAGTTCTGTGCCCTTCCTTGTCCCCTGCCTCCCCCCTCCATTGCAGTAACTTCCCACTTTAATGCCCCTTATAATTTTAAATGCTACATTTTTTGTCTCACAAGGTGGACATGAACTAGCATGTCCATTATTATAGACAAGACACAAGTTAAGGTGAGCTGATGTTGAATAGCTCTTCCTAATAGATCTCTAGAGCTGAATTTATGTGTTTTGTTTGCTATTAGATCGCTCACTAAAAACCAGGAAAAAAAGCAACACTGTCATAGAACATATGAACATATGAATGAAACTACCATTTGTGGTGAATTGTTCTCCACTCCAGCTTGGCCTTAAGAAGGTTTTGACTGGAATAGTGTCCAGTTTGGGGTCTGAAAATCAAAGAAAGATGTTGAGCATCTGAACAGAGTCCAGAGTAAAACAAGCCTTATTTCACATCACTGAAGAGAGAATAAAGCCTCAACAAGGGTGATTCAGTTTAGACCCAAGAAAAACATCTGAAGTAGTGAAAGGAATTACTTTAATAGACTGTGGAGTCTCCATCATTAGAGATTTTAAAAAGCAGGGCAGATAAATCTCTCTCAGAAATGGCTTAGGTGCAGTTGATCCTGCCTTAGGACAAGAACACAGTCTGTCTCATATGCTTTTGTAGTTCATCTGGGGCTGGATCCAGCTCCACTTGACTCTGGTGCCTGAAGAAAGGGGAAGGGGAAAAGAAAAGGAGTAAGTGAAAAGGGGAAGTTTCTTCCCTTTTGAAAATTGTTTATCTGTGCTAGAACAGTACAGAACATTTTAAGTCTTCTGCTCTTAGACACTGTCTTCCATTTCCTCATGTACTTTTCAAGGCTTCCTTAAGAAGCCGTTAACTTGAAACACTCCTATCCTTTGTGATGGTGAGGAAAAAAACTTTGTTTGAAGAGAATTTGGGTCTTGGTCCAGTGCTAATTATTTTTAATTTCTGCCAGGCAGTGCACACAAATCTGTCAGTAAAATATATCTCCCTCCTTTATCTTTTTTTTTCAATCTCGCAGAATGGTGGCCTTACAGTACTTTGGTAGCAGCTTCAAATATACTTCACATCAAAGCCATGTTAGATGTGCTCTGATATCACGATAGATGTGCTCTGTTCATAACAAATCATTAGAATTTCTCCAGAGTCCTGCTGCTATAGTAGCTGTTGATACAAATTAAAATCATTCTATGGTAAATTATTTTGAATTTGCAGATAAATTTTTCAGTAGCTGAAATGCCCATTGACTCCTAAAATTCACACTGAGATTGAGGATGTATGACAGGTTCAGCAAGAATTTACTTTGGGGGAAGACTGCGGACAAGAAGGCAAAGACCTTAAACACCGCAGCCCCTAGGAAGTTTAGAATGACAGTTCATATCCAAAAGTCAGTGGCAGGAAGAAAGCCTTTGGCTTAATTAAGGGCACTTTATGTGTGGCTTTCTGCTTTGCAGTGCTGTGCAAAGGGAGAAAAGCAAGGACAGAGGAGGAGCTGATGTAAAGTAAGGGATGAATGCAAGGTTTGTTTGTGCTATAGCAGTAAAAAGCATGAGTTTGACTGTGCAACTCTATCTGTGCACACACCATCAGTGTCAGTCAGATGGTACACCACTGACTCACACAATTTACTTGCATAGGTTGGCACTCCTGATGTGAGGGAGAACCAAGAAAAAATTAAAACCTAAGCATGCCACTTACCTACAAAGAAATCTCTATCTTTTTCTGTCAAATAGACAAATTCACTGAACTACCTGTGAGGACTTGTCTTCTGAACACTTGAAAAACCTCCTCCTAACAGTTTCATTAACTTGTTTCCTGCTTTTGAATGACCACCTCATGGCTATATGTAAGAACACGACTGCCTGCAAGCTCTTTCAGAAGGAGCCTTATTTGTACTTTCCTAAAAGATTGCATTATAACTCTTATACTGAGTGCTTTTGAGATTAGGCTTTACAGGGTGGACCACTGCCTGGCCAAAACCAGGCTGTCTAGGGCTTACAGTGCCAATGGTCTTTACTCCCTCTGGAAGTTTTGGAAGACACAAAACCACTTGTTTGATTGAGGCCAGGTCTTCATACCTGAAACAAAATTAAACCTTATCTTGTACTCAGATCCTGGCAGCTAGAGAATGGTGAAACAAAAAACTAAGACTCAAAAAAATTACACCAGAGAAAGGTGGGTTAAATACCACAGATTTCCCACTGACAAGCAGAAGTGAAAAGGGCTGTTTATTCCTGAAGAGTAAGAGATTCTGCCAAGTTGGGAGGGACCCACAAGGATAATGGAGCCCAACTCTTAGCCCTGTGCAGGACCATCCCCAAGAGTCACACCATGTGCCTGAGAGTATTGTACAAATGCTTCTTGAACTCTGTCAGGCTTGGTGCTGTGACTACTTCCCTGGGAAGCCTGTTCCAGTGCTCAACCACCCTCTGGGTGAAGAAGCTTTTTCTAATATCCAACGTAAACCTCCCAACACAACTTCAGAATATTAACATAATGTCCGAATGGGGACAATTTTAATACTGTAAGTACCAAATAGTAGGTAAGTGATCTCTCTAATGTGGAAAAAAACCCCACAATAAAACACCAAAACCATCCTAGGAAGAAAGCCTGCCTAATGCTTGTAGAACTGGGGACAGACTTTTTTTTCTTTCTCATCATGTCACATCCCCTCCACAGGTAACTTTGTACAAGGACTCTGATGGAGAAGACTTTGGGTTCAGTGTCTCAGATGGTTTACTGGAAAAAGGAGTATATGTTAAAAACATTCGACCAGCTGGCCCTGGCGATCTGGGAGGTTTAAAACCATATGATAGACTTTTACAGGTAATGTTTCTGGCACCACACAGGTTTAGCACGAAGGGACATGACATACGGATTACTTTGTAAAAAGATTTGTAACCATACTGGACGGTGTTTTCTTTGCAGATGTGATTGTAGAAAACGGCACAAAGTGTTTTCATCACTTATTTGGAACAGCCCTGTGATCTGTATTGCTTATTGTAATTTAAATAATGAGCATTACTGTTTGTATTTCTACAGGGAAAAGATGTGTATGGGGGGCAGGAAAAAGGGCAAATGATGATAATTGCTCTGCTACAGGCTGTGCTGTGTAGATTTCTTAGAGCCTTGGTAAGAAAAGACAGCACTCACAGAGGCTTGGGCTTTTATGCAGTGGCACTAACACTGGATTTTCCTGTGTGGTAGTCATATTTAGTATAAGTGATATGTAGTCATATTTATATAAACAAATTCTTTCAGAACACTAGGTATTTCAGAACTCCAAAGGAGACATACAGATGCTTACTAGGAAGCTGGAATTTCTCAAAGCATTTCCATACAGATTTGTCTTTTTTGCTGTTCCTGCTACAGACCTGAGAACTATTTCTGTGTTAATCCAAGTGTTGAATGACATAGTTGGAGTAACGTAATACTCACTCAGCACCAGTCTTATCACAGTGCCAAGTTGGACTGTGATGAAAAAACTAAATTATTTCTCAACTAGCCCAATAAAATATTTTATATAAATTTATATATATTAAGTAAAACCAGAGAAGACCTGAACTGAATTGAAATTTTAGACATGCTCTATTGCATTTAAATTGATGAACACCATGAAGGACAGAAAACTATGGGCTGTTAAATGTCATTTATGGAGTGGGCATTGTGACAGCTGCCAACAGCTAGCACCAGTGTAAATATCCCTACTTCAGCTACATTCTGTTTAAAGAGTGAGTAGAAAACTTAACTGATGTCTTCAGACGAGACATCACGGTAAACAGCCTTGTACTGGGCGATTCTCTACCTGGAATAATTAAATCAGTCTCCATAGTCTCAAGGATAAATCTGTTTCTCTTGTAATCTCTTTCTTTTTCCTAGAATGGTAACAAAAATCAATCTTCTCATCATTCAGGTAAACCATGTTCGCACCAGAGACTTTGACTGCTGTCTAGTTGTGCCCCTCATCGCAGAATCTGGCAACAAGCTGGAACTGGTTATTAGCAGAAACCCACTGGCATCTCAGAAAGGAAGCTCAGAACATCCTTCAGCGAGTGGGGAATGGGGTGACCCAAATAACGCCTTCCTTCAGCAGAGCGGACACACTCATGTTAATACAGAGACACGGGATCCTACAAATACATTATAGCAGAAAACCATTGCAGTGGGACATTGGGTAACAAAAGACAATTATGGTGCTAAATCCATTTAAGATTTCTCTCAGATTGAGGCTTAGATGCTGTATAGCACTGAAAAGCACAGGAGGTCAGTCTGTCTGTCTCAAAGCTTCTATTAATCCATGGTTACTTTTGAAATAGTTTAATTCTTCATTAAGTCAAGTCATTCCATTCTAAACAATCTAGCATTAGTAACAGTAAGAAAAATCATAAGGGCCTTTTTTTTCCCCCCAAATAAGAAACTGGGGAGACGTTTTAAACATGATCTAAATGTACCTCTTCCTTCAGCAGCAGCAGCTGTTTGAGGGAAGAGCATGGAGTTAACCTCTGCTAACAAACAGTGGTGTCCAGGTTACATTGTTTTTAAAAAACATTTTATCAGAAAGGTGCTGCTATATGATGGACAAGACAGAGTGGTTTACTGCACTGGGTTTTCTTGTGAAATGGCAAGAAGGGTGCACTTATCAGACAAAGCAAGGCTTAGATGTTTTAACTAAATGCTTGCAGGAAGCTGCAGTTTGCAGTGAACGTTACTCCCCCATTTCGGTAAACATTGTTAGAACCTATGTTATTCCCTATGCAATGAAGTATTTAATGGTATGTCTTGCAACCCGTGGGGATTTTTAAGCAGAGACTTTTTTAGTCGGATAAAACCTCTGAAGGAGGATTACTGAAAAGAGTAAAACTGAAATAAGTTCAGACAAATTAGAAAGGTTTTTAAAAGAAAATGGTGTTTTTTAAACAATGTCCGTGGAGATTGATATGAAAGCTCTTTAATGATCCATAAACCTGTAAACTTGTACTGTCACGCGTAAGCTTTTTAAGTCAAACAATTTCTTGAAGGGACAAAGGTCCTATTTAATATGCTTTGTTTTCAGCCTTCTTTATGATAAACATTACCCTCTGCAACGCATTTTTAGAATTTAAAATTGTAAATATATTTTACAAACACATCACACAAATTCTCTCCTCTCCCCTCTCCCCCCAAGCAATAAGATACTGCCAGTTGCTCTATATTCTCACCAGCAGCTGCTTTGGTTTATTCTGGTATTCAAGTTGTTATTAGTAATTATTGTTATTGGTGAATATAAAGATACTGGATTTGTACATTTGTAGAGTCTCCATATCTAAGCAATCACCTTACAGAGTTGTTTCTGGTCAATTTAAACTGTTTAACTGTATCCCTGTTACTATTTCCAATACATGAACAAGCTCACCTGCCCTGCACACACAAGTATCTCCAATTTCTATTTCAGCACTGCCAGAAAAGGTCAGAATGACATTTAAGGCTGAATCATGTAAAAAAACCACAAACAAAACAAAGTTCATGAGTCACTTAAATATGTATTTTTATCTGTAACAAATAAGTATTAAACTGTAAAGTATTTTTGTACAAATTTAATACTTTAATAGCATGATATTTATCGTCTATGTTATGTTTTTTGAAATTCAAACTGTTGCAAATATTTGTATGGAAAAACTGTAAAAATTGAAATAAACAGTGATTTAAAGACATTAAAACTGAGGTATTATTTTTCTGCTTTATATTTTTTCCACATTATTTTTTCACAGTTTTAGCAAAAATACCATGTTTATACTTACTTACACCATGTAGTATACTTTTCCCTACTCTATGTGAAAAAAAAAAAAAAAAAGTTAAAGGTAAGACACATTTTAGTACAATGTGTCTGATGTTTTGGTTTAACATTCAACTTACTAATCTCAAAATTACAATGCAGCAGGTCACACAGTACACAAGAAAAAGTTGAAATTGGAATGTTATTTGGACTCTGACTTGGAATTTTTCTTCTCTTACAGATCATCATCAGCATATAACTATTAGCTAAAGCAGCAATAGCAAGTTCTACATCTCTTTCAAGTACAAAGTGGGGAAAATTTTCTGTCACTGACTGCAACTTTCTTGTTCTATTTATAACAAGATTAAAAGCCATAATTCATCAAAGCTTCATGCCCATAAATCTAACACATTAGAAAAACCTAAAGTCCCCTTTGTAAACTGGTTTTTTTACTCAAGAGCAAACTACAAGTTTTGGCACATGAGTAAGAGCGTCTTATCAATGCTGTAGCATTAGGAGATGGATAAATCTTGCTATGGAAAGCTTGGGGTCTTTAAATCAAAATACATCCTCATGTATTTTTCACGGGAACATCTGAATCCTGTAAGACCTGTAAGTTCATTCTTCACCAAAACAGAAGAATTATGTGATTTTTTTGATGACCAGTACACCAATGAATATACTAAAAATGGATCACTGAAAATGTAAAAGACGCAGTGTAAAATGAGCTGTTCTTCACAGAATATGCAAAAACAGGAAACCCTTTGAAAAGTAGCAGCATATTCAGCTTCTCAGTTCCAAAAATCTTGAACAGAACATGTTCAATGAAGATTCATAACGAGGACAGTTAATAATTGTTTGTTAGCTTTTGAAAAGCTTCCTAGGAGCTGGTTGTCCCAAAGTTAGATTCCTAAGTCTAGAAGATCCAAGTGGAGATTCTGCTACTGTTGTCTGTCAGAACAAAACAAAAGTGTTATCCAAGTTTGAACCAGACCTAAAATATATTAGCATCTGCAAAAAAAGCTCTATGACAGAGCTCAGAAATTAGATGTAATGAAAAAAAAGCATCTGTTAAGTAGGTTTGATTGTATAAAAATCAACTTCAATGATTATATTTTTTATATATCTTTCACAGCAGGTCACGTAACTACTGACATCTGTGCACAAAGAATAAGCTAATATAGACTAAGCTGGCCAATGGATCACTCAAGTGAGTAAAAAGATGTATAAATTTACCACTATTGACATTGTAACTTATTTTTCCATGTTAGTCATATTACTCTGGGAAGAGATATGCCAAATTTGACTGCTTCACCAATTACTGATCATCTTGAAAATTATTAAATAAATAAGGGTAAAACAATCATACCAGTACCAGGTGACTTGTGGTGGTAAGAGTGCAAAAGTTTGTTCTAAACTTCCTCAGTAAGGAGATACTTACAGGGGGTATTTTTGTAGCATCTTCAGCTGCAAGGGTTTGGTGTCTTTTATAAGGACTTTGCTGCAAACTGCCTGTCTGCTCTTTATTGAGAACCGATGACCATTCCTGTTTCATGAGGTCACTCTGAGGTTCAGGTGGGTCAGGAGCACCTTGAGTTGCAGAAACAGAGCAAGTCGCGAGCTCCTGATGTTGCCGGCACTTCATGAGGGGAGAGGACATTTGTTTGGGACAGTTGCTTGTTTCTGAAATTGCCTCTCTCAAAAATCTCTGTAAGCGAGTTTTTCTGGGCACGTTCTTGTTAGTGACTGCTCTCCGGAGGTGCAGCTCTTCAGCCACAACATAGACACGGCAGCGTCCCCTGGTCACGGCAGTGTACACGTGCTGCCAGTGCTGACGGCCAGGATTGCCAACCACGTACACAACAGTTTTTTCCTCGGAACCCTGAAACATGTTTAAGAATGCCATTTCAAAGCAAGATCTCCGGTAAATAGTTTTTAAAAAAAGAAGACAGAAGAACGAGGAAGTTGGAGACAACTGTGGACACTCTTTCAAGAATATTTTCTATCCTGCATTCAAGGAATTGTGGTTTCAGAAAAGTTTCTGACTCACATGAAAATACAGCTCAGAGCTGCTATGTTCTTACCTGAAATGTGTGAATAGTTCTGGCCCATGCATGTTTTATGTGACATAGCTTCTTCAGTGCCTTATACTTCACAGTGAACATGGAGCCGTACGTGCTGCTGATGGTCAGTAAGCGCTGTTTATCAATTTCTACATCCTAGAGAAATAACACAATACTTAGCAGGGAGCTTGTACTGAGTGCATCCCTATTCTTTTACTGACCATCTTCAAGGAAAATAGTTTCATTGTACAGGGCCTACCCTAACTACTGATAATTTCAGTGGCCCCTCTGCTCTACTCCCTGAAGCCACCAAAAAATACAGTTTTTTACTGCTGTATGTTTAGGTTAGCTTAGTTTTCTGCCAGGGAGAGCTCCAGCTGTAACATTAGCCTTATTCTTTACTTAAGACTCTGTTTCTGCCTATATACAAAATTATCCTTTTCAGTTACAATATGTTTGAGTATTTACAGACTGTATTTACACTGAACACAAGCAGACCAACTGAAACACATTTTACAAGAAAGCCCAGGGTTGGGTTTTTTTAAATTCTCTATTGTAGCTTGCCTCTTGCCTTTCATGTGATAGTTTAGCAGAACTAAGTATGTGCTACAGACTAAACTTGTAAAGAGTGAATTTTTTGGTTCTGGGGATTCAACAAGGACCGAATCAGTTACCACCAGGGGTTTTTTGTGCAAGTTCTTGCAGCAAAGACTTACCCCTGTTATGAAAAATATATCTCCATTGCACAGTCGTTTGCCCTCCTCAGCAGCCTCTGTAGTGAGGGTGGTTTCTCCATTTCTATATTCATGGCCATTAGAACCATCTCTGAAACCACAGCCTGGCAAGAGATCCCTGAGATACGTATTCCGTGTGCAGGAAATCTTGTCCCCAGTTTGAAATAAAAGTCGGTTTTTATGGTTTCTAGGTCAGAGAAAGAAAAAGCAAGAAATGTATTCACAAAGTATGCATTTACCATCTCTCAGTATTTTTCCTCTTCACTTGGCCCAGATTAAAAACCTTAATAATATTCAAAACAGTTAAGATAACACACATTTATTTCTTGAACTTTTGTAAAACCTTTTGGTAAAAAACAGTAATATAGAGTAGCTCAAAAATCTTGCTTCCAAAACTATTTCAGAATCCATCTAGCAATCATACAGGGGCAAAAAATAATTAACCTTGAGAGGTTTTTTCACATTGCTTTTATGTCAGTTTTGAACATTCAACAGTAACTTAAAATCCTGGAATTCACATAATGACAATTTAAATGAAAGGCAATTTATCACTGTTGACAGTCCAGACTGAGACTGAAGAAAGTTTATGTTATAAATTGTTTATATAATAATCAGATCTAGATGAAACATTGAAAGTTGTATAATCTTATTTTAGGGTTTTGATCTGGCTATAATACTTTCAAAAACAAAGTGAGATTGTTCACAGGGAAAACGCAAAATACTGGCTTACCTGGTTAAATGATTTGAATAGTGTTGGCAACAAAGTTCATTTATTAGATTGCAATCTTGCCTAGATCATAAAAAACAAGAACATGAACAAAGTCATGATGTACAAAACATACAATTACAGGCAATGTCACATTAGCATTGATATATAAATAATGGAAAAAGCCCTTTTTAGCTTTGATGATCTTCCACTAACAATTAAAAAAATTGCGGATTCGGAATTTAGAAGACAGAGCAGTAAAGAAACAGTTTTGTCTAAATACCACAGAAAGTGAGGCAAGGATGTTTGCACTGCATACCTAGATTAGCTAGATTTGTTTTTAAGATAAAGAAGAAAACTAAAGAAAAAATAAGGCCTGGACAGATTATTTTCTGCATATGAATATATTAAAAATAGCCAGAAGATTTATTAGCGTTTTAAAGACCTGGGATTTTAACTTTTTAATGCAGATTAAGTACCTATAAATATATTCCAGATTAATCTTATATGAAAATCACTAATAACAATATTGTACCTGGATGCAGATTGGAGAAATACAATTGATGTTGGAGTTACTCAGCGTCCACAACAAACAGGTGAACTAGCTAAAATTTATAAATCGCTTATTTGCACACTGGTAATCTGGAAATAGTGGGTGTTTTTTAATTACTGAGAAAAGGTTCTTCACAAATAAAAGTGGAAGAGTTTTTTCTTAAGTACCCTTCTGTGCAGAACTGCAAGTTTATGGACTATTGGTACTACTGCACATGATATTTATCCCTTCAGTGTTTCTGTGAAGCCATCCATACTATTCATGCTCCTGTGATTACTAAACTTTCCAATCTTTCCTCAATGCGTGTTAGAGCCCTACATCCCACACCTTTTTAATTGATGAGTATTGTGCTTCCAAATTAACTAAACTGTAGGCCTGTCACTGCAGAGCAGAAGCACTGATGCCCATCAGATTATATGACTAAATCTGACCCTTGACACACGGTCAAAACGCCAGTATCTTCTGTTACGTGGTCAATTCCCACTTGTGACAGAAGGCTGTAGAGAGAGTGGGTTATACACTCCACCACACAGCCTGGAATTCACATCTGCCACACTTGGATACATTTGAATACACGTATTTCTTTGTATCTTGTGGGTTCCTCCTACAGTCAAGCTCTCGCCTTCTGTTTCTGAAGAACACAGAACTCTTCACAAACACCAGAGCACAGGCTCTCACAATCTACTACAAAAAATGACCACTTAAGTCCATCCTTTGCTGCTTTAACATAAACCATACAGATGAACGTGAGCACAAAGGCAGAATTTATGGTGAAAAATAACATTAAAAAGAGAGAAAAATGAAGCAATTCTTCGTGGATAGACAGCAGGCAAACGGAAGGTATGGGGAGAGACATCGAGCCCGTTTGTTCTCTCTAGTAATTTTATG